AATCAGAGTCCCTTCAAACAATATTATAATCCCAGAATTTGATTTCCTTGTGTTTATGTCATTTGCATAGTCACTATCGACATAACACTTTAATTTCAATTCCTCAGTAATCTGTATTTGAAGACCCAAATTTATGGTTCCCTTTAAATATCTAAGAACCCTTTTTACACCCATCCAATGTAACTTTGTAGGTGCAGCAGTAAAACGACTAAAATGCTTACTGCGCAAGCTATGTCTGGTCTGGACCACTGTGACAGATTAACAAACTCCCTATTGCTGAGTGATATATCTCTTGATCACAGGTTTTACCTTTGTCCGCACTTAAACTATTATAAAAATCCGTACTCATGGGTGTGGGAGCAGTATTGCTATCTTTCATATTATATTTTTTCAATAACTGCTCAATTTTTCTCCTTTGACTGAAAATATAACCATCTTTTTCATTTTTCTGTATCTCTACACCAAGATATTTTTTTTATTTCTCCCAAATTCTTTAATTCAAATTTCTTTCCTAATTTATCAGCAAATTCCTTGACTTGTGGTGCATCCTTTGCGATGAAGCAAAGATCATCCACAAATGATAACAGTAGACAATTCCCTCCTTGTAACTGTCCAGTATATATACAATTATCAGCTTTGCAACTCTTAAATCCAAGACCCTTTAAAGCAATATCTAAACAGGTATTCCAGTTACTGGCTGACTGCTTCAGCCCATAAATAGCCTTGTTTAATTTATACACCATGTTAGGCTTTGCAATTTCATCCCCTGGTGCTTGAATCATATAAATTTCTTCCTCTAACTCAGCATTGAAGAATGCAGTTGTGATATCAAAGTGCCAGATTTTATGCTTATATGCCGCTGCCAATGCCAGTGCTAATCTTACACTCTCACTTTTCACAGTTGGCGCAAATACTTCATCGTAGTGCACATTCTTTAATTATGAAAAACCTTGTGCCACTAACCTGGCCTTATACTGTATATCATATCTTTCTTCTTATATACCCACTTACAACCCACAGCTTTGGTTCCCTGTGGCTGATTTAAAGTCACTGATTTAAATACTTCATGGTCTCCTATGGATTTCATCTCTTTATCCATGGCCTCCTTCCATCTTTCTTGTTCAGCTTTTGGTAATGCCAACACCTCTTTATAACTTCTTGGCTCATACCATACATTGCAAACCTTTACCTTACTGGCAGAATATCTGTCAGGTGGAATTCCTTTGTTACATTGCTCTGACCTACGTGGTATGACCTACAGAAGCAGTATTAACTGCTCCTGTGTCTCAAGTCTTTCTGGCTTCATGTCTTGTTCAGTCTCTCCTCCCTGAACATTGACATCTTCAATAATCATTTTTCCATCATTAGATGAGTTATTGTCATTAAATAGATCACAGTCATTAAGTGAGACATACCCAGAATTTGCATTAATTCTGTCCCAATTTTGTTCTGCAAAATGAGCAGACCTTGAAATTACAATTCTTTTACTTCCATCGCTAAAGCGATATCCTTTTGACCCTGGCTCATAGCCCACAAACCTGAGCTTTCTTGCCTTTTGCTGTCCCATTCTTCTGATTGCTTTTGGAATATGTACCCATGCAGTACTTCCAAAAATTCTCGAATGTGCCAGTGATGGCTTTCTCCCATATAGAATGGCATATGGAGTATTATTAATGAAGGAACTCCACAGCCTGTTAACTATATAATTGGAGTCAATATGGCTTCTCCCCAATATGACCTGCTCATACCAGAATCCTCTAATAATGAATCTTTCATTGTTTGCAAAACACCATTCCTTCTTCCAGCTATACCATTCTCTGCTGCTGTGTAAGGATTTGTACGTCTGTGTCTTATCCCCAACTGCCCCAACCGTTGTTGGAATTTTGTTGACATAAATTCAGTACCTCTGTCAGTTTGCAACTGACACACTTGTTGTCTGTACCTTCTCTCTACAAAACGTATCCACTGTTTGAATTGTTGTAGCACCTCTGTCTTACCTTTAAGCAACTAACAAAACCCATACCTGCTGTAATCATAAACAATTACCAGTGCATACTTTGCTCCTCCCAAACTGGCTTGCATAGGTCCCATCAGATCTGCATGGACCAGCTCTAGAGCTCTTTTTGTTTGTCTTGTGCTATATTTACTAACTGGGAATGCCTTTGACTTCGATGCTTTGCATACTGCACAGTCCAAATATGTTTTGCATCCCTTCAAATTTAGCCCTTCTGCAAACTCTTGCATTTGCTGCAAAACTTTAAAGCTTGCATGGCCAAGTCTTCTATGTAGAAGATGAATGCACAAATCGTGCTCTGCAACATTCTTAAATATATGGGAACATTGAACCTTTTGTCCCTGCAATACATATAGATTATCTTCCTTTACGCCTTCTGCACAAATATTCCCATTCCTTTTGATGAGACACTTCCCATTTACAAAAATGGTCTCAAAACCTTGTTCGTCTAAATTAGACACACTTAACAAATTATGTTCCATCTCAGGTACACAAAGCACATTGGTAAACTTTGATTCCAAATATGGAATTTTTACATCACCTCTTCCGATGACTTTTGCTTTCTGGCCATTTGCCAAAGCCACAGCTTCTTGTGCTATTGGAACAAACCTGCAAAATAATTCAGAGTCATTAACAATTGTTTGACTTGCCCCATTATCTATTAACCACTTGTCTTTATTGTTGCTATAGCAAACTGTTGCAACACCAAAATGTTCCTTTTGCAAATCAGTCTTCTTTGCTTGCTCAAATGTCCTTCACTGCAAATTGTTCCCCTGCAAACAGTTCCTTTTCATATGTGTGTTTGCACTGCAAACGTAGCAATTTTTCTCTTGCTGAGCTTTCTGCTTGCACAATCTTTCCTTTGTTGCAACTTGGTCCCATCTGCTGCTTGTTCCTTCTCTGGAGACTTGCAGTCTGGACCCCCTCCTCAGGAATTTCATCTCCTCATGGCTGCTCCTAAAATGGCACTTTTCTTCTTCATTAAGCAAACATGCCTTTAAAGCCTCAAAATTTAAGTCTTGCTCTTCTTTACACTCAAATATTGCAGAAACTGTGTCCCAGGTTTTATCTAAACTGTTCAACACCAATAAAACCTTCTGGGACTCAGGGAATTTAATCCCACGTTGTTCTAAGTCCAAAAATAAACTTTGCATTTTATTTAAATGCTGTTCCACAGATTCGCCTGGTTGCAAACAGGCCCTGTAAAGTTTTTTTGACAATTGCACTATATTGTATGCAGAAACATTCACATGCACAGCTCTCAACTTCAACCAAATCTCCTTTGCAGTCTTTCAATTTGCAACATTTAGAAATTGTTCATCATCTAAATTCAAGATGAGATAAGCCATTGCTTGATCATGACTTTTCTGATCAGCAGCTGCAAACACTTGTGGTGGATTTTCTACGATATACCACAGCTCTTTAGTTTTCAGCAAACATTCCATTTTTGCAGCCCACACAATGTAATTTTTCTGAGGAGGCACAGAGTTTTCCTCAATTCCATTGCAGCCATTCTGCTAATTCTGCCTTGTTCTTACACTTTCTAAACACAGGCAATTTCTTCCAGCTTTAAATTACAATACATCCTTAGTGAGCTCTGGGCCCATATCCTGTTAGACAATTTTAATTTCTCTGTTGGTAAAAATAAATCAGAAGCTCTCATAGTTGACTGCATTTAGCTGATTCATATAACCTCTTTATATTCATATCAAAATATTTACAATACCATATATTCTTCTTTACAGCAACATAGCACAATGAAGACGTCTTAGAGAGAGATACAGAAACAGACCTGAGACTGAATTAAAAAAATCCAGCTCCTAACTCAATACCTTTTTTGCACAGACTCAGTAGCACTTTTCTCACATTGGCTGACTGAGTTACCACATGACTCTTCCTGCTCATGAATATGCCAACAAATTTGCTATGTAACCATTTTGTATCATCTCACCAACCATATTGCTGGAACAGATTGTGATCACTAAATGAAGGCAGACTGTTTGTTAAAGTATTGAACTAGTTCTATATTAAGACCTTACAGATACATATTTTAGTTTCTACAAATGGCATTCATGTATATTGTTTTTTTTTATTTATTAGCACTGTTATATTTTTGGTTGTACTTTTCAAAAAAAGATGTTAGCAATCTGATTGTGGTGGAATGTAGTCCCCTTCTCCAAGATAAAATTAGTGATGTATACCCTTCCTAATCAATGACACTTATTCTTCATAGTCCATTGTGATAAATCTTACTTATAGATAGTCCTATGCAGATAGTCCTCGACTTATGACTATAATTGGGAATGGAATCTTGGTCTTTGAGTGAAATAGTTGTTAAGAGAGAAGGCCACTTGACTGCTTCACTCAATGACTGCAATCCCGGCACTTCTCATGTCACAGTCATATGAGGTCCTCATTTATCAACCTGCATGGTCCCGTGGGTTATGAAGGCAACCGGCACTGCTGGGATTGCTATTGCTAAATGACACTTTGCAACTGCAGTTCTTTTTGGGGAGTAGAATGTAATGCAAAAAGCTCTGCTCAGTAAATAAAGTTATATTCATCTGCCTCTGCAGTCAGTGAAATTGGGTTTGAAGTGCTGCCATACTTCTGAAAATAATTATTTCACAATACATATGTATTCTACAAGCGTTCCTTGTGGAGCAACAGTGTCTGTAGTTACAATGGTGATAGAAAGATAACAGTAACCAATCATTGCCTTAATGACCTTCACAGAGCTGTAAAGCAAAGGAAAGCTAAAGTAATATCATAAGCACAGTTGTAGTTTTATTTAGCAACTGCTGTGCTTAATGACTGAGTTGCAAGTCTCAGTTGTGGTTGATGAATGAGGATTACCTATGTTTTCAAATATGCATTCTGAAGTTTAAAATGTAAACTATGCCATTCTTGGTTTTATCAAGAAATTTTCAGGGTTCTCAATCTTTTTTTCTCCCTTTCTGCTTTTGAAAAAATAAAATGTTCACAGAAACATAAGATAGATCTGTTCTACAAGCTACGCCATGTGATGAATGAAGTGATTGATCTTCGCAGACAATTACTGTCTGGTCATTTGACCCAGGATCAAGTTCGAGAAGTCAAGAGACATCTTACTGTACGATTGGACTGGGGCAATGAGTAAGTACGGTTCTAGTTTTATTTAAATAAATGTAATGGTGAAATAACAGAATTTGAAAATAGAAGCTTAATACATAGCCCACATATTGTCATATTACGCTCTTTTGGGGTAAACAGTATTATTCAAAGCACAGAAAAATAATGAGAAGACGTGAACAAAAGAAAAGACAGAGTTAAGAGAATAGAAAAAAATTCTTAGTAAATCACGTTTACCCTGAAATCATTCAAAATATATCTCCATGCTTTCTTTTCTCATTCTTAGCTCCTCCATCTCTATACATCATACGTTTTGCTCTTTAAACTTCTCACTTTTTCAGGATCCAACTCATTCATCTGTTAATTTTTCAGACTTCCCCTTTCTCTCAGTATCTGTATTATCTCTCAGTATATTAGTTTGGTGATTCAGGCCTCATTCATATTCTTTATATGACCAAACTATATGCAGATAGTCTTTGATTTATGACCATTTGTTTAACAACTGTTCAAAGTTACGCTGACACTGAAAAAAATGACTTATGACTAGTCCTCATATTTATGACCATCATAGTTGTAATGGATTTTGTGGGGAAAGATGCTGCCTAGAAAACAGTCAGATAAGAGAGGCAGAAGCTCTCTTAAAACTAGTAGACTTGGGAAGGACTCACCCTAATTGTTTAAGGAGTTAAACATAGCAGCAGGAAGATTGCACCTTCAGACTTGAAAGATTCTATTAATGTAGTTTTATAATAAAGCACAATTAGCTCATCTAGTTGTGTCTCCCATTTGGCTTAGCTGTAATGTTTCATATCCTCACTTTTTTTAGCACTTCTTTGGAAGCCAGACATAGATCCAAGACTTCCAGAATATTAAAGGGAAAATTTGCTTCTTCAAATCTCAACAACAGAACAGCAGGAAACAACAGTTAACTACAGATAAGGTCTAGCTGAGCAAGGTGAATTTCCAAGTATAGGAGTCCAAAGATTTAGCACACCAAATCAAGGGAGAGAGGAGGTCATAGTTAATCAACAAGCCAGGATTGTAAATAACTAGATTCCAAGTGTCAAGATAGGCAAGCCAGATGCTGTAGTTGCTTCTAGCAAGAGACCATTGTTCCTATGGGAATGTAAATACTCTGCAGAATATGCACAGCTGTGGTCAAACAGTGGCAGTGAGCTCAGCTTCTTGTTGCTTGCTCGTGAGTTGTACACTTCAGCAAGATGTAGAGATCCCAGAAGGAATTGCTGGGGGCACCAGTAAGTGCTAGAGCAGCCTGCATAGCAACTGAGTCAGACTCTGAAAGCGCGATATCATTGGAGTCATATGATCAAAATTTGGTATTTACCATCCTGGGTCACAGGATCACAATTTGAGGTCTTTTCAGGGGGCTTCTGACAAACAAAATGGGGGAACCTGGATTCACTTAATATACAGTAACTACATAATTTGCTTAACAACCATGGCAAAAAAGTTGTAAAATTGGACATGGCTCACTTAATGACCTCATCACTTAGCAATGGACGTGCCAGTCCAAGTTGTGGGTGTAAGTCAAGGACTACCTGCACTTCTTTCATATTTATCACTCAGTTATGGTCATTCAGCAGCCACTCGTTCTTGCCCATCTCTTGTTTTACTATACATACTTTTTAAATAATCAATTTTCCAGAATAGTTTTGAATGACCACCATTGAGCTATAGATATTCTGATATTGTTGCTTCAGCTCAACTTCCGAGTACCGTACTTCTGCATTGCATTTATTTGTTTGTTTGATTGATTAGATTTTAATCCTTCTCCTCCCAAAATGACTCTGGTCAGTCCAAAATCTGTGTAGTGTCGCATATTGTAGTGTTGATAAAGTCTTCAGCATTCATTAGATAGTTATGTTTTGGACTTTCAAGCTTGTGCAGTGCCATGTTTGAAGTATTCTGTCTCTTTATTATCAGTGCTATATGTGTACAAAGGTGCAGTGCAAATCAAAATAGTTAATGGACTTGCTAGTACTTCATACATGTGCCTGCATAGAGACTTATAAAAAAATCAAACTTTTTTTCTGTAACACCTTATAGTAAAGATTGAACTATTATACTTGCTGTGATGTTTTTGATAAAAGTTATCATTGGGTAGTGATAACAGCCAACTACTAAATAATCCTAACCTTAACAATATGATGTTAAGTACAGATTCTCTTATGTATAGTAGGATAAATAAACATTACAAGCATAATAATTGATAGGACATAGCATAATTATACTATGAAGGGTGCATTGCTATATGTACTTTTAATAAAGTAAATAGAAAGCCAGATTGATGTAGAGGATAAAGTGCTGCAAGCCAAGAGACTGGGTTTTAATTTCTAATTTTGTCTTAGGCCCAAGAAGTCAGACAAGCAACAACAACAATAATAATGATAATAAAGTTGAAAGGGACCTTGGAGGTCATCTAGTCCAACCCCCTGCTCAGGCAGGAAACCCTATAGCATTTCAGACAAATGGCTGTCCAGTCTCTTCTTAAAAACTTCCAGTGTTGGAGCATTCACCACTTCCGGAGGCAGGTTGTTCCATTGGTTAATTGTTCTAACTGTTAGGAAGTTTCTCCTTAGTTCTAGGTTGCTTCTCTCCTTGATTAGTTTCCATCCATTGCTTCTTGTCCTTGGGCCAGTGATTCTCTCTAAGCCATAGTCAAAGGCGATGGCAAACCAATTTAGAAAATACTGCCATATAGAAAACTTGTCCATGTAATTGTCAGGAATCAAGACTGACTTGAAGACATAAAAAATAAATCAACAACTAGTTACAGCGGGAGAGTTTAATAGAAATTTAAGCTCAGGGTTCTCTAGTCCAAGTTTAAGTGACATTTCCTCATTATTGTGTTAATTATGAAATAGAGCAATTGATCTCTTTTATTAGAATGTATAGTATTTTAAACAAAGAATAGGAAAATGGGAAGCATCTTTGCTATGCTTTAATTTACAGTAAATTGCTGAAATGAATGAAAGCTATTCTTCTCAAATCTGAATCCATTTAAAGGATCAAATATGCATCTTGGAGATATTTTTTTAAAATTGATTCCGGGTTTGTTGGTTTGTTTCTTCATAGGCATTTGGGCTTGGATCTTGTCCCACGGAAGGACTTTGAGATTGTAGATTCTGATCAAATCAGTGTGTCTGATCTATACAAAATGGTAAGACTGTTTATGGAGAAGAAGGATATGTTTAAGAACATTTTGTGTAACCAAAAATTATTTATGTAACTGTGACAAGTATGGTATATTTAGGACTGGAAAGATTCAGATTCAAATCACCTTTCAAATGGGTGATTTTGGCCAATCAATCTCTCGGATTAATTTAAAGGATTGTTGTGAGGATAAAATTACAATAGGAAAACCTAGCATCTTATTTAAGATTTTTCTGCATCTCATATTCAAAGGAGCTTGCAGCAAATATATTTATTTAAACTATAATGATCAGGATTAAAAGAATAATAAATAAATATTTTAATTTTCCAAGGTGACTCATTATCACCTTAGTCTTTCCCAGCATGCTGGTTGGGAAATTCTGGCAGTTGAAGTCCACACATGTTTAAATTACTAAGATTGAGAAACACTGCTTTATACTATGAGTGGCACCACTAACAACAATTCTGAACAAGACAAACTGTACACATAAATTAACATAGAACAAGTAAAAAATTTGTGATGGTGTAGGGTTTCCTGCCCGAGCAGGGGGTTGGACTAGATGACCTCCAAGGTCCCTTCCAACTTTACTATTATTATTATTATTATATGAATGATTTAAAGTTATTTGGAAAAACAAAGGCTGTACTAGATTCCTTATTAACAAGCACAAAAGAATTCAGTAAAGATATTGTAATGAAATTTGACATTGATGTGTGTAACCATATTAATAAAGATAGGTAGAATTGTTGAATGTGGTAGAGTACAGCTTAATAATGAAAATTTGATAAGGTAATAGCCTTATCCTTAGTGAAACAAACTGTGAAGGAAAAAAAATGGGATGAATGACTGTTAAGAAAGGAACCTTGATCAAGGAATCAGTCATGGAAAGCTCTTTAAAACAACAAAAGTGTAGATAAAAAATAATTGAAAACCAATTTGTTAATTGAAAAAGCAAGCCAATGCATGATCAATACTTGAAGGATATAGAAAGGAAAAGTTTAAAAATCCCACATTGAGCTAATTAAAATCAGAAGTGTTAAAGAAACAAGGCTTTATTTTAGCAACTCAAGTATGTTTGCAGTTTTGAGTTATTATAACAATAATAGGAACAATAAATACAATTTTGGCCATCTAATTGTATGAAGACCAAAATTCAATATGGAACAAACCACAGCAAATGTTGCCTTTATAGTGAAAAAGCTGACACAATTGACAATTTGATCAATGGGGGCAGCAAAATTTCACAAACTGACTACAATTAATTTCCAGAATTATTCATTGGAAATTTTGCTAGAGGTTGGGATTGAATGTAGTAAAAACTACTGGGACCATGAAATTGAGAAGATTTTGGAAAATGAATGTGTTAAGATCTTATGGGACTTTAAGATCCAAACAGATAGACACTTTATTCTTAACTTGCCTGATATAACAGTTATCAAAAAGAAGAAAATCTATTTCATTGAAGTTCTTATACTGGGTGAGGCTAGGATTGAGAAAAACTTAATACCTTAATAATGCTATCTTAATAATATTTAGGCCCTTTGTTAGGACTTGAATTATTAAATTTCCAACAGTCTTAGATGGACTTTCTGATAAGCAGCTTTGGGTACAGGTAGTCTTCTACTTTCGGCCATTTATTTAATAACTGTTCAAAGTCATGTCAGCATTGAAAAACAAACTGGTCCTTACACTGATGATCACTGCAATCACGTGTCCAAAATTTAAGTTCTTTGCAAGTGGCATGTATTTTTGACAATTGCATTTCCCCAGAAAGTCCTCTTTGCCCAATCGTCAACTTAAATGTTTGTGTTATGATTGGCTAATGACTTGTGTGTCATTACCCAATTCCATCCCCCCCCCATACTTTTGGGAAACTGGCTTAATCATTATAGCTAATTGACTGAATCTGTTCAAACAAATTAATTACATATTAAAGAGTAAAACTAATTCTGCTTAATTAAGTAAAGAACGAAAGCAGTATATTGAGAAAAATAACACTTTTCCCTTCATCTTTACAGCATTTATCCAGTAGGCACAGTGTACAACAAAGCATATCACAGGTAAATTGACTTATAAAAGCACCATCACTTTACTAAATATCACATGAATAATAATACATGTAATGGTATTAAAAGGTTTTGTTTGACAGTGCCAGTGTACAGAAACTAATTTATTTTCTTCTGCAGCAACTTTAATCTTGATCTTTGTTTAGAACTGCTTGCATTAGTTTGAAAATGGTATAGAATGTGATATTCATACTGTACACAGGTCTGTGTCCATGAAATGTTTGGGTTGTGTGTATTTTCTCTCTTACATTACAAACTATATAGAATGTATTTAGCACAATACAGCTGAATGTCAAGATATGGAAAAGGTCTGAAACATTAGTGGCTGCAACTGTGTTGCTGCTGAAATAACTTCAAAAGAAAGACTGTGTTACTAATGATTTCCATGAGCTTCCTCAATTTTTTTCTTACCCTACCTTCCCACTTGTGTATATAAATCTCATAATTGTCTATTTAAGTAGAGACAATAACATCACTGTAAACTTCAACAAAACTGGAGCCAACAAGTCTTTGATCAATGAGATGAAAAAGGAGTTTAAAGGAAGGAAGAATAGTACCCATTGTCTCTGTCTGATCCTCATACTTATGGATGTCAGCTGGATGGATATAAACCAACGTAACTGAATATACAGTACTTGCAAAACATTTCATCATTATGTATAGGCTACTTGCAACTATATATAGCTAAATGTTAATTATGTTTAAATAACTCACCTATTCTTTTCAACATAGGTATTATCTCATTTTCTTTTCAACTGCATTCCACAATTCAGGAAATGGTTAAGATGGTGCTGGGCTGCAGTAACTTAATATGGACCAAAACCCCTGCTTTATTAAGCAGTTTGCTCACATTTATGGAATCTTACATGTGGTTGTGAAATTTAATGTAGAGCAAAAAACTGGAATTTTTTTAAGGAAACCTCAAGTGTTAATAAAGAACTTATAAAAGGAAGAAAATATATAAAATTGCTGATATTTTATTATAAGGGTTTGTTGAGTTGAGATTGTTACAGTATGTACCCTCACATATAGTTCATAGTTATTCACAAAACAACCCTCTCTTGTGCAATAGATAAAATAATAATTTTAAAAAGAGATGGGGGAATGGGTTTACCTCCAGATGTTGTTGAACCACAAGACATAGAAACCCATCCAACATAGCCAGTGCAGAGAAATGCTGGGGATAATAAGTTTCATTTAATAATGAAAGACTACTTTTGTATCTGGATTTTCCACATTCCAGAATAATATGTTTAATACTGAATTTTATGTAACCTACTTTGATAGTAAATATTGTAATGTAGTTTTAGTATAATACCAGGTATGTATCCTCATTTTTTTTCATCAAACATCCAAATATATTTTGGTCTCCAAATTGTTACAACTAAAAATCAGTGCACATGATGAATATTTATAATAGGTATGTTATTAAATGGAAAACCTAAAGTTTCTAAAAGAAGGAAGAATAAGTCACTTGTTCCATAAATAATTGCATAACTATTGAATACTTGTACAGAAAATAAAGCTCTTTTCATTTCTTTTTTTCAAATTAGGTGGATACGATAAGGCCACGCCATGGAGAAGTATGCCGTCTGCCAGTACCTCACCATTTCTTTCTCAGCTTAAAGAGTTTCACATACAATACCATTGGAGAAGATGCAGATGTATTCTTTTTTTTATATGATGTTCGAGAAGGGAAGCAGATCAGGTAAATCAGGACAACTTTTTACTTTTTCAGAATATATAGATTAGCAATAGCAGTAACACTTAGACTTATATACTGCTTCACACTGCTTTACAGCCCTTTCTAAGCAGTTTACAGAGTCAGCATATTGCCCCCAACAATCTGGGTCCTCATTTTACTGACCTTGGAAGGATGGAAAGCTGAGTCAACCTTGAGCCGGTCAGGATTGAACTGCTGGCAGTTGACAGAATTAGCTTGCAATACTACATTCTAACCACTGCGCCACCACAGCTCAGTATTGATACTTTCATTTAGAATCCTCATTTATGAAATATTTATATATTTATTAATATAGTTATTATGAAATACAATTATGAAATATTTCATTATGTATTATGAATATGATGTCACGGAATTATCCTTCTACTGAAGTAGAAAAGTGCTCAATTAATTTGCTAGTGCTAGTTCTTTATTACATTCACTGAACAGAATTCTACAAGTAAATAAAATAACAGTTTCTGTTTCAAGTATAATAAACAAATCTATAGCTAGATCACCAATCTGATCAAAGTATGTCAAACTTTATCAACAGTATTACAAAATTTTATCACATTCAAGGAAAACATCATACTACCCCAACAGGTGTCACTGTACATAAAATAAATAAAAAATGTTTTGGTACTTCACCAAATAGGGAGTTATGAAACAGATCCCAGTGTCCTTATAGAAATTGAATTATAAAGGAATATGGGCTATAGATTCATTGGGTCCTTCTTATGGCACAATTTTAGCTCTTAAGGAACATTTTAATATTTGCCTTTGGGAATAGAAATTATATTAATGTTAGTTCTTTTCGGTGTTTAGGAATAGTTATTTGATATAGACATCTTTCTGACTTATCAAATGACTTGAGTACTTCAAAACCTATTTCTGGATAAGGCAATCTGGCCCAGTTGCCTTACCAAGTCTCTAATGTGTCAGTCAATCTTTTATTACTATTATAGACCAGAATTAAACATTAATATAAAATAAAACAAAATAGAACAAGACAGAACAATTGACCTGGCTTTTCTCCAGAGGTTCTGGGTGCTCCATCACTGGAGGTTTTAAGAAGACATTGGACAGCTATTTGTCCAGCGGCATAGACTACAGTCTTCTGGGTTAAAGATTGGGCTAGAAGACCTACAAGGTCACTTCCAACTCTGTTATTCTGTTATAATATTATATTATAGTTAATGGTGAGATTATTGATGGGCAACCAAAGCCTGCCTAATTTAATAGACAGTATAGCAGACTTTAACTACTGTACTTTCAAAGAAACTGTATCATACTGATGCAATAGTAAAGGTTGTACATAAAAGAGTTCAGAATTTCTAGGATATTTTACTAGGAAAGGAGTTATAAAATGAGTCTGTGAATACTTATAAAAGGAATAATATAACAGGGCATGAGCTATGGTTTCATTGGACCCTTATCCACAGGAGCACAGTCTCAGCTCATAACTCGACGAGTTAGCGGGCGGCTGGTTGAAGGGACTTTATATTAAAAAAGTCCCTTCAACCAGCCGCCCGCTAACTCGTCGAGGTCCCACATGGCCAGATGCATCCCAGCACCCATGCACTCACTGACATCTGTGTGCAGTGGCTGATGGTGTCAGGCAGCAGCCACCCCGGCCCCTGCTTCACCTTGCCCTGTGACAACGGCACCCTCGCCTTGCCTCGCCTCACCTCGCCCAGCAGGACGAGTCTCCTGTCCACCGCTCCATCTGCCAGAGACCCCCTGGATTTCCCCCAACTCTGCCTGGCCCCCACAGGTATCCCTCCCCACGAGCAACATCGAGGTGATCATGCCCACCTTGGCCACACCCACCCAATCTGCCACACAGCCACGCCCACCCAGTGGGCTCCGCCCGCCTGGCACCCGGCAATAAATAAGTGGGTTTTGGGTTGCAGTTTGGGCACTTGGTCTCTAAAAGGTTTGCCATCACTGATATAGGCTCTTCAGAACTGCCAAGGAGAGAGATCATAGTGTATTGGTTGGGTGAAGTGAGAGGTCAGTTGTAACCCTTCATCAAGATAACCTTTTTTTGAAAATCTATAGATTTAATTCTGACTAGAATAGAATAAAATAAAGTATTAATGATAGACAAATCCTTGTTGCCTTTCAGTGAAAGATTTCTGGTAAGGTTGAACAAGAATGGGGGTGCCAAGAATCCAGAGAAGATTGATCGGATGTGTACACTTTTCACAGTATGTATTGCTTTATGGTCTGTATTGTCAAGTGAGACTTTTCCTCTCCTTTACCATTCCAGCCAAGATTAGTTTCAGATACAAACAAAATTTGATTCATGCTGAATTTACAAATTAATTCCATTTTTATCACATAGAAAATAAAAGAACAATGTTCCTAATTGTAGTTTGGTTTGAAATTGAACTTCAAGAAGCTTCTAATTTGATGCAGGTGTTTGATAATATATTTAATAGTAGGTGATGGTAGAGGGATTAGTAGTAATCTTGAGACTTCAGAGTTGCTAACTTACCTAGGATGCCCATCCTAGGATAAGAGGATCTCCTATGCTCACTAATATCCAGTCTGATTTACCTCAGTTTATAGAGTAACCAAGCAAGATCCCAGACTCATGTGATAGCTGAATTTGAATTTTTTTTTTTTTTTGAGTCATATTCATCACAAGGACCAACAATCTTTAATGAAAGCTTGGGTAAGAGTGGTAAATAATAACTCTAAAAATCTAAATTCTATTGTAATAGATTTTCTGTGCTGATTTGTGAAGAAGACAATTAAAAAGAAATATAGGTAGTCCTCATTTAGCGACCATTAAAAGTTATGATGCACTCCTCAAAAGGTACTTATTAGCTGGTTCAAGAGTTCTGATGGCAGCACTCCCCAGTCACATGACTGCATTTCAGGCACTTTGCAACTGCTTACCTTATGACTGGTTGCAGTATTCTGTGGCCAGGTGATGCAGTTTACAACTTTTTAAAATCAAAAACTAGCTGAAAAGGCCAATTACTGGCAAAAAACATCCATAGGAATGCATTGGCTCAACAACTATCATGTTTGCTTTATGACTGCTGCAAAAAAGATTGTAAAATTGGATCAGTTACGTGGGTACCTCGACTTACAACCATCATTACTTATAATTGAAATTCAAAGATCCATTAGGATCATAAGTTGAGGACAACCTGTTTCTGACACGGTCATTTGCGAATGGTTAACATTTCTAAATTTATAATACCACAAATTTTGTAAAACATTATTGTTTTAAATACTTAAACGAAATATGAGTTAGGGTCATGCCAGCTGCTGTTTTGTGGTCTTGTTGTGAGGAGCAACTGTGTGGAGCACTCATAGACGATCTCAGGTCCTCTTGTCTGGAGAGTAATTAAAGTCTTCATTCTGTCCCAGTCATTGGTTCCACTTTAAGTAGTGCAATCTTCAGTTTGCTATTTCTTCCCTGGAAGTCCAGACTTCCTTTCTAAAATATTTGTGATTATGAGTTTTATGATTTATACTTTCATTGTAGTTTAATTATTTATGCTGTCTTTTAGCTATATGTCTAAATAATAGCTTTGCAAAGTAAGATGGGTAGCATATAAATTTGATAAATAATATATAAGCAATATGTTCAAAGTGTATGAAAATATGTAGATTGAAAGCAGATAGGTATAGGGGCTATCCTTTAGATGTTCTGGAAGAAAAATAAATTTATTTAATAAAATATTAAAACTAATGATAATGTTCTTTATTATTTTTAGAAGAAGAAATGTTATTTTATATTTAGAAAACTAAGACTGACTATTTAGTTCTAATATAAATGATTATGTGTAGAGTTTCGTGTTATTTTAAAAGAGAAATCAGTGAAAAACTTCAGTTTCCAGAAATTTTTTAAGTTTAGAACAATGAGATAACATTTATAAATTTCTGTGTTTTTATTTTTATTTTTCTTTCCTTCCTCCCTAGTCTTTCATATCTTTTTGTGGACTTTGTAAGAAACATAAAAGCTGCTTTTCTGAAATGTAAATATAACTTAGAAATGTTGTTAATTTATTTTTTCTTTTGCATCTTTCCTATTTATAAGGACCTTGGCAGCAAAGATATGAAGAAAGATTTGTACATAGTTGCCCATGTAATCCGAATAGGTACAGTATTCCTTATTAAAAACATTTACATTTTTTATTTAAAGAACAGAATTAATATATAACATGATCTGTTGTATAAGTTGTGATAGTTTCTCTGTCTGCTAGAGACAGTAACAGAAGATCACTTACGTTTTAATACTAATTGTTAAAGACTTCTCAATTATAAGCATACTTGCTAAATATTTTAATGGAATAAACATTAATTGTATATCTATTCCAACATATTGCATGTGTTATTTTTATATTATATTTTATATTATAAATCAATCTGTTAGAAAGGATAATAACACACTTCTGGCAGCGCCTATCTGAATTATGTTTGACCTATTTTGATTTCTTTCAGTCTCTGCTATTTCTGTAAAACCTAGGGATCCACAAGAATTTGATGGGGATCACAGGATCATTAAAAAAAGCCACTGGATTACATTATTCTCCCTTCTCCTCTGCAAGGAGTTTGAATAAGAGATGGGTGACTGCCTTTCCCCCAGAACTAGCTTTTTCTTCATCTACATGCATATTCTATCTGACTTTTTGCCTGCCCCCAGAGTCTAAAAAACATTTTTTAATAAGCTGTCCTTATTTTCGAAAGGATAGCCAGGATATTAAAAGGGACCATTGCGGCTTACAAAGTTTGTGAACAAAGAGAGCTTGAAATCCAGCAGACAGTTTTAATTTGCGTAACAGCACCAGATTAATGGCTATGTCTTTTCTCCTGATCCCTGTCAAAGATGTTGGACTTTCTTTTCTTGATTTTAACTTGGTTATTACTTTGTCCTAAATATAGTGGAAAGAGACAGGATGATTTTTAAAAGATTACAAGTATAAGCGCAGCTTGGATGCAGCCTCAAATTCCTTTAGAATGGGACTCCTCTAGAGTGAAACACACATGAGAATTATCTTTGTGCACTGCATTTTAATTTCTAGCAGCTTGAATCTTATGGCAGCTTTCTACTCAAAAATATGTTTTGTGTAAATCAAATTGAAAATAATGGGTAGCTAGGAGATTGAATGCAAAAGCAAGCAGGCAAGCAGAAAGAAGATGACTGCTTATGTGGCTTCAGCCAGCCATTCATAATGGAAAAAATGATGCAATTTCATGTTAATTCATAAATGCTACAGTAATTAGTACATCCATTTTTGTGAAATTCAAATAACTTTAATATAGAATTTGCATAAATTAAAACAAGGACAAGTTTTGTGTTACTGCTTATTTTCTATCACTAGTTTTGCCTCATGATCAGGAGTTATGGGTTTTGTTTTTTAATTTTTACTGACAACCTAAAAGAACCTTTCATTAGGCGAAAGGGGCACCGGTAGGGATATGGAGATTGCAGAGAAACTGAATAAATTCTCTGCAACTTTCTTTATTGTAGAAGATAAAAGACAGATCTGTGAGCCTATATTAAGTTTATCAGAGCAAATTAAGCAATTTGAGAAAACAATATAGGATATTTTGAGAAAATAAAATATAAATAATTCTTGGGTCTTGATGACTTGAATTATCAGAGATAAAATTGCTACCGGTAATTTCCCTGCAAGAATATATAACTTATCCCTCAAATTCAGTTTAGTGCTAGAGGACTGTAAAGTAGCCAGTGTGATACCAGTTTTAAAAAGGATTCCAGGTGAAATATTAAAAATTATAGGCTTGCAAGATCAATCCTAGGAAAGTTGTAGAAATACAATTTAAAGACAAAATTACTAAGTAAACAATGAAGAAAGTTTACTGAAAAATAAATAAGCATAAATTCTGCAAAGATAAATTCTTCCACAACAATCTATAATTTTTTAAAGTGGACAAAAATGATTCTGCCAACTGATTTTTCAAAAAAGCCTTTAGAGAATTCTTCATCAATAGTTTTTCAAGTAAACTTAGTGATCATGATGTATGAAGATATATTCTTTATCATTTATAATTGGCTAAAAAACAAAAGGTAAGGTTTAGGATAAAATGGTCAATTTTCTTAGAAAATAAAAGTGTAATTCCTTAAAGATCTGTGCTGAGATCAGTGTTTTTATGGTTTATGGTCAAGTTATCTTGGAATAAGCAGTAAGTTGGCAGGGTAATGAAATCTAAAATTTATGGCAAACAGCTCTAGAAAGGGTTTTTTTGCAGAACAGTAAAATGGTAAATGAAATGGCAAGTACAGTTCAACTGAAGCAAGTGTAAAGTGATACACATTGGGTCACTCACATCCCATTTCACATATAGATTTATGTAGTTTGAGCTATTTCACCCAAAACTAATAAGGAAGGTGATCTTGGGATCTTAGCAAATAGCTCAGTAAAGTCACAATTCAATGTGCAGCAACTGAGAAAAGGCAAATGTCATATTAGAGATTTTCAGGAAAGAGATTAAAAATAAAACTGTCAAATTTTAATCTGTTTTCATTAATATATTTTGGCTAGAACCTTTGGGATTTCTTAGTACGGAAAGAAAGGCACCTGATGAAGATACGATTGAATCAACCATGACCTGGAAAATAAGTTTATGACACTGTTCTCCTTTTCTCGAAACACTAGAACCCACATTAATCCAGTGAAACTGATTGAAACAGATTGAGAAAAAATTAAAAATAATTAATTTATGGAATTTAATGTAAAAGATAAATTGATGGCAACTAATATGAATTATTTTAAAATGCACTGGATAAATTCATGAGATGGCTATCGGCCTCAAGAGTTGTGGGCAGCATGCCTCTCAAACAACTTATAGGGAACTTGCTGGAAGAGGAAGCATCTAGCTGTAAGAAACAAAATACTGGACTATAAGGGACTATAAGGATTCAGAAGAGCTTTTCTTCTGCTTGTTTTAGGACGTATGTTGCTAAATGACTCAAGAAAGGGTCCATCTCACCTGTATTACCGGCGTCCATATGGCTGTGCTGTATTGAGTGTCTTGGATGTAATTCCATCAATTTCTGAACTCAAAGAAGAAAAGGATTTTGTTCTCAAAGTTTACACGTAAGTTTATTTAGTTGAAGCATTTAGTTGTTTTTAACTCTGTTATACTCTGCCCAGAATCACTGTTAGTGTGATGAGTAGCTGTATAAATTGATTTAATAAATAAGTAAATAAATAAACAGAAATGCCATAATCTGTTAATGTCAAGTCTAATATTTTTCTGATATGTAAAATATAGTTTAGGATGTGTTATTTAAAAATATTAATTAAACAATTAAAATGTATTATCATCTATGACAAGCCAATATGTGACTAACATATCTGCCTGCAACACTTCAGATCTAAAGTTGGAAGTTGCTTTGGAGAGGTGTATCTTCTACACCCGTTAGTATCTTCTTAAAGAGGCTACAACTTTAACTGAAATTATTTGGTAGCCACACAACTACAGGAAAATTTATGTTTGGTTTAGCTAGTCAGTGATAAGACTGCAGCAAGATGCTTTGGAGTGGGTATGGATATGCCTCTGGTGCCTCCTTAACAAGAACCCATTTTTTTCTGGGATTGTGCAATCCAAGATAAAATGTACAATTATTTATCAAAGCAATGATTCACTTTTTTTCAGAAGAGCAGCATGAAACAGCAAATAATTTGTAGGCAAATTAAGAAATCACTTATGGTGGCAGATAGAGATGAACTGCTTCTAAGATGAACAAGCTCCAAGAACCTTTTTTTTAATAAGTTTTTACTGAGTACAAAGAAAAAAAAGGATTAAAAACATTGAACATGGTAAATCATCTTTGACTGACATCTCAGTCCATATTGTACATTAATTACATATAATATATCTATATACAACTATACATTTCTGGTCTCTATCTTAACTTATCTCCTTACTGTGACCTCCATTTTTCCCCCTCCATCTATAAAATTTATTCCATATTTGATAAAATTCTGTTTCTTCCTGATTTTTTAATCTTTTAGTTATCCTATCTAGTACTGCGCAATACATAATTTTCTTTATTAGTACTTCCCCACTCGGTACTTCCATTGCTTTCCACTTTTGAGCAAATAGTATCCTTGCCGCCGTAACCACGTGAATAATTAAATATGTATCCTCTTTATTTACATTTTTCTCTAGTATTCCTAATAGTAAGGTCTCAGGTTTGTATTGAATGTTTTGCCTAGTAATTTCTATTGCCCATTCCCAGACCATACGCCAGTACATCTGTGCTTCTCTACATGTCCACCATACATGAAAAAAGGTGCCCTTTTCTTTTTTACATTTCCAACACATAGATGAATGTCCGTTATACATTTTGGCTAATCTGGCCGGAGGGAGATGCCATCTGTAAACCATTTTATACAGGTTTTCTTTATATGATGTCGCCAATGTGATTTTATTATTTCACTCCCATACTTGCTGCCATTGATCCATATTTATATTATATCCTAGATCTATTGCCCATGTCACCAATGTTTCTTTAACCTGCTCCTCATATAGCTTATATTCCAACAGGTGTTTATAGATATTCTTTATTTGTTTTTTCTCCGGGCCTAGCAGTATTTTATCTAATCCCGTATCCTGTCTGTTAATACCCCATTCTTGCTTATCCTTCATGTATCTTGCTTGTATCTGGAGATAAGACCACCACTCCATGCCAAGAACCATTTTTTAGAAGTTCCCAAGGCCTTCCAAATCATCTCACTGGATTTAAGTGGCAGAGGGGCAACGGTTAAAGTGACTTTTATCTATTGCTCAATTATTTAATTAATGACTAAAATAGGCTCATTGTATCTCCACTACATTAAAACAGCTATATTTTTCTTGAATCCTCTAAGGACATTTCCAGACTGAGCTGCCAAAAGTCAGAAGACATATATTCAAATAATATATGTGCAATATGTGTGTATGTTTATATGTATATAGAGTAGGAAGGTTAAAACTTTATGTATATTAAATTTCATCAAGAGCACAAATCACAAAAAATTGTAAAACATTTACACATATCCTTGTGAAACATTACCATATTATCACCTGGTCTCCACCAATCCTTATAAGATAGGGGGGGAAACCCATTCTCAGTTGCAAAAATAAGATAAAATAATTGCATGCTATTTCTTATTCAATCGTTGACTAATTCTGATGATGTTACCTAGTTTGGGTAATGAAATGTCTACAAGAAGACAACCAAGTTCAAAGAGCACCAAGGACCCCTCATTTCAATTCTGAGCTACAAATATTCTCCATTGTTGGATATAATTTTCCTAGTGATGAGTCAAAATTAATCATGGAGTTTTTAACCAATCTACTCCCAAATGTGCTTTTTCAAAAAATCAGTTGGACTTCCTTTGTTTTTGCTTGAAAACATTTTTCTTCTCATCCAAGAAGCTTGGTGGTGTTGTATCCCTCCCTCTCTGTTGACAGGAAGCTGTTCAATTTTAATGTAGATGGGCTCTTTGATCCCTTTTTCAAACTAGCGGTCCTTTCTGTCCAGAATGTGGACTTTGCTGTCTTCAAAAAAGTGCCTTTGTCTTTAAAATGCAAATGGACTACTGAATCTTGTCCTCATGGGTTTGTGTGCCATGCGTTGGTGAAGTCATTGTTTTATTTCTCCAATGTACAGATCTACACATGTCTCACTATATTGTATTGCATATATCAAATTGTTCAGTTTATGTCTGAGTGTTTTATCCTTGGGGTGGATAAGCTTCTGCCATAGTGTTTAAAGTGTGGATGTATATTGTGTTGGTTGAAAATCTTCCTGAGCTTTTCTGATATTCCTGCAACGTATGGAATGACAATGTTGCTTCATTTGTTGTTCTCTTCTTTGTTATGGAGGAACTCTGGTTGGGTTTTTCTCTGGATTTGATGAAGGCCCAGCTGGGATGATCACAAGTTCCGAAGGTCTTCTTGACATGTTTTAGTTCTTTTTCATTTCCATCTTTGCTGGTAGATAAACTTTCAGCCCAATGTTGAAGGGTTCTGATCATTCCCATTTTGTGCTCCAGTGGGTGGTGAGAATCAAAATGTAAATACTGATCTCTGTGTGTGGGTTTTCTGTAAGCTTCTATAAATTTAATATTAAGGCTTCCTTAATGTATACTACACAATCCAGGAAGGCCAGACTATTTTCCTTAACATCTTCCTGAGTGAACTGAATGTATCTGTCCACAGAGTTGAAGTGTTTGGTGAAGGCTTCCAATTCCTGTGTTTAATCTTGACCCAAGTATTGTCGACATATCTATACCAGTTGAATGGGTGGAATTCCTGTGAAGGAGTTTAGGGCATTAGTTTCTAACCAATCTATTGTTATGTCTTAAAGCAACATTTAGAAAAAAATGAAATATTCTATCATTTATAGTTCTTGTGTAAACTCTATCATACTAATCTCTAGACATAAAATCAACATAGAAATATTTAGGGATATTCTTTGATCTCTATTGTTTTAATATCTAGCTTATCCTATATGTGGGTATTCTGTAACATACTTCTGAAATATAATTCATTATATTTGTAATTATATTTGAAAGAATTTGTATATCAACGTCTTCTGGCTTTTGAGGAAAAGAAATTAGCTATTTCTCAAGTAGTAGGTTTAAAAAATATTGCAAACAGCTATCATAATCCCAGTAGTATGGTCATGGAGGAGTTCAGAAATCAAGTTGGTGATTGACACACAAATCCCTTTGTTTTTTACACATTTACACGAGGGCAAGGCTTCATGAAACTGGTATATCAAGCAACCCCTACCCTCTAAAAAATAAAAAAAATATTAACAAAAATGAAACATCATACCCTCTGGAACATCATACCCTCCAAGGTGAGATCTGTACTGACCTTCCTGACCTTTCATAAGGCTTGAGTACCTGGTTTGATCAGTGGATCTGAGGGTATCACTCTGAAGGTGGTTAATAGATTGAGAGAAGCCTCTTCTGTGATCTTCATATTCCTTTCTTCCCCCATCTTTTAATCTTTTAATGATGATTTTTTTTATAACTAAGATAGTTATTATTATTTTGTCTTTTAGAGTTTCTGGTTGTAAGCCACCCAGTATTGCCTCTAAAGAAAATAGGCAGCACATAATTCCAATACATACATACTTACATACATACATACCAAGAGTCATCAAACATTTATTCCATCTCACAGAAGACAGGTACAGTTATTGTCTTGGCCCAATGCCCAGATAAAAAGTCATATTTTAAAAACTTTCCTGAAGACTAACAAGATTGGAACTATCCAAATCTTAAGGAAAGCACATTCCTAAAGGCAGGTACCTCAGCAGAAAAGGCATATTTCATAGGTCTCTTTGGATAACATTGCCTCAAGGAGAATCCTGGCGTATGCCTGCTCTGGGAAAGAGCATCAAATGGGCAGAAATAACTGGAGATAAGCAGTCATGCAAGTAACCTGAGTCTCTGCCAAGAAGGGCTTTATAACAAACCTTGAATTGCACTTGGAAACTTATAGGGAAGTAGCACAGCATGTCAAATATGGGCATTATACGGGCATGTTGTGGTACACTCCTAACTGCCCATACTGCTATATTCTGAACCAACTGCAGTTTTTGAATGGTCTTCAAGGGTAGCCCTATGTGGCAGTTGTCCAAATGGGAGATGACTAAGACATGAATGTCAATCTTACTAGTTAGACCAAACCAGAAAATTTTGTTTGTTTGTTTGTTTAGTAAGTATGAAATTTATTTGCTGCCCATCTTGTCTCAAATGACTTTGGGCAGCTTACAGCATAAAAACATTAAAAAAACAATTAAAATCAACTGTAGAAGAAGGTTAAAAATGGAATTAGCTATAATAACAGAACCTTCCATTTTGATATACCTCCTTCTCCTTCTTATACTTTGATTCACTGGGGAAACATTTGCTTCAGCAATTTCCAAAGGCATTGTTCTAAACTTAAAAATGTCATAGCCCCTTTGCATAGGTAACTTGATATTTCCATCAAGGTTATCCTCCCTATTTTCCACAGCATGTGAAGGGTACAATTGGCACTCAAGAGGCTGTGTAGAGGCTCTTCTAAGCATGGCTGCCACCTGCTCCTCCATTAGCAGCTGTGAGTCCAAAAAGACTTCCAAACTGCAAACTGTTGTGAATGAGAATGCAGCCCCTTCCAGAACCTACAGTTCAGAGGTACCCAAAACCCATTTACTCTTTGCCGTTGACTCAAAGCCTGTTCTTCCCCAGTCAGGCCCACAGATCTTCCCACTGGAAAATATCTTGACAGCATCACTTGATTGACCCAGGGTGATGATTCACAAATAAGTATTATTAGCATAGTGATATTAGTTAACTGAGTGCTGACAGATGATCTATCCAGAAGCTTCATGTAGATGTTAAGTAAAAATTGTGAGAGACTAAAGCCCTGAAACACCCTGCAGAGCAGGCATTTAGAGCTACCCTTTTCTCTCCCCACTGATTGTCTTAGTATCTGAATGGTTTTGCCTACCACCTAGTGGTCTAAGCCCAGGTGATCAGCTGCCATACCCTACCCCTATAATCCAGCCACATCCATACTACTGCTCTGGCTCCTTTGCTCCTATCAAGGTGAGCAGAAGCAAGAAAATATACCAAAACTAGTGAATAAACTAGGGTAGGTTTTTACACCCAATTTTCATTTTCAATCCAGGCGAGGATAAGCAACAATACCTCAGATAACTTCCCCCTTCAGCCCCACAGAACTACTTCAAAGTCCAGTCAGGATAAAGATTTTAAGTTCAGAACTGTTCTCCAGTCAAACTTTCTGAAGGTGAGGCTGTTAAACCTGAAATCCACTGAGAGATGATGAATCCAATCTACATTCTAGCTTCTTTGATGTTCACAAGTGCCACCCAAGATGGCTGCTATCTCCCTGGATATACCTCAGCCTAACTGCAGGATGATGGTTGGTTTTCCTGCAAGATCACCAGCCGGCTCCCGGTCTTATTGATATTTGACATTAATGCTCAGTTGCCCCAACTCTCTGAAACATTGATGACAGGCATATCAGAGCCATCAGTCTCATCTTTGCACAGCCAGGAAACTGGTCATTACAAGTTTGCTACCATTTATCAGGAGGAACATCTTCAAAGGCACCAGCATCACTACTAGGCTGCTCAGCGGCTGAGTGGCAGTATTTCTATCTGGAGTCTCTTGCTGCTAAACTGTTGATCAGAGGCTCCATCCCAATCACTGTCAAACTAACGTTGCCAGCTCTTCCTCCAATTCCAGTGAAGACATTACACAGTTGTCCAACAGTTGCTTTGAAGACTTTGAATACTGCTGCAGAGGGTTTCTGGGGAACACCAAAGAGCATACATGCCAACCAAAGAAATACCAGAAAACTTTCCTAATTTTCTACAAGCTTCAATGCATCCACACAGAAGATATAACATATTTTCCTATAACACCAGTGGTGTGTCTTCAGCAACATGTAATTTGTCTTAGCACCATGACAAGAGAGAGAAAGAAGGGGAGAGACATAACACTATCAAAATTATAAAATTCCATTATTTTTCTGAATTCACATCAAGAGAAAACAATAATTATTTCATTTTCCCTCAAAAGTGTTATACTGAAGTTGCAGTAATAAACTAATAAAATGCCTCCCAAGAAGACCAGGCAGGTGATGCAAGATGAGCTAATTTTACTTTATTGTAAAGCTACATTAACAGATTCTTCTAAATCTTAAAGTACAGTTCTCCCACCATCTTTTTTTAGCACTTGATAAATTAGGATGGATCCTTTCTAAGTTTATTTCTCTGCTCATTTTGCAGCTGTGGGCTCCTCCCCCTTTTATCTGATCATTCCCTAGGCAGCATCTTTTCCCCTCATTTCCCTAGGGCATGGGTAGGCAACCTCGGCTCTTTTATGACTCAGCATAGCTGACTCAGGAATTCTGGGAGTTGAAGTCCATGAGTCATAAAAGAACCGAAGTTGCCTACCCCTACCCTAGGGCATTCTCACATCCCAATACAACTACCTACGTTACATATTTTAAAATAATTCTGTGTGAAACTCCATTGGGTAAGTCACCCTATTATAGTTTGTTGTGGTATTACATGCAAACATATAGGGGAATAATTTTGTGTTATCATACTGCAACCCAGTTTTGTCATTCTACACTCTACCACCATGAATGTTTAGTTTTATTTTTTTTAAATTTTGCTAAGTATATTATTTTTGCACTGTATTGCTTGTACTCATATAATCAGAATACCTGTCACCACTGGGAAATAACTTGCTTCTGTGCTTCCATGTTCAACATGAAATACTATAATTTTTCATTGAAAGCAATCGTGTTTATATAGGTCCATTTCCTTTATTGGGGGTGAATCAGAGTGGTACAAAAGATTATGCAAGCTTTGAAGTTTTCATTAGGCAACTGAATTCTGCATTTCAAAGTCATTTCCAAGGAGATTTTACTTTGCATACATAATTAATACTGGGTTTGTTGGCAATAGATTATAGCTTCATGAGAGAAAAAGGCTTTTTAATGTATATACCATTTCCTCCATAGCAAAACTCAAGATTTCTCAAAACTTCCACTCCAGCTAGAAGAGTTTTTGTTCTTTTGGAACGTGCAGGCAGTTCTCTAGAGAAGGGAAATAATCAAGAAGCTAAGGATTAGAGCCCTCAGCCTTTAATAAAAGGAAACCCTACAAGAAACTGGGAAAAGTCCAAGAAACAAGCAGGGTTCAGGACATAATAGAAAATATTTAACAAGTTTAGCTGAAAATATTGCCAGGGACAATTTTTCCTACTTTGATGGCATATACTTAAAAATAATATTTTGTCTCTGCTTAGTATTTCCGTTTTCCAAATTAAATGGTTTCTATAAATTAGGAACAGTCCAGCATCATCATGTATTCTGCCCATATTTCTGTTTGTTATTTTACGAATGGTACTTTCAAATCACTATCTGAGATTTGAACAACTCTGCATGTTTATCTTCAATGCCTTTAAATATTTATTTGGGACTGCTTAAACACCAAAAAGAATTTTTACTTTTTTTTTTTGCTTTAAAAACATGATTTTACAGTAGTCCTTGTGCCTTATTTAATAACCTGTCACAACTGTGTTGAAAAGGTAATTTTATGTCCAGTTCTTGCACTTATGTCTGTTGCATCATCCCCATGGTTAAATGATCAAGATTTGGATGTTTGCAACAGGTAATTGTGAATGTCACAGCATCTTGTGATCACCATTTGTTTGCTTCACAATTGGCTTCTAACAAGAAGAGTCAATGGAGAAACTGGCAGTACATTCTTGGTCACATGATATCTTATTTAATAACTGCAGGTGATTTGTTTAACAACTATGGTGGAAGTGAGGCTGTAAATCCACCCTGGTCACATGTTGTCTTGTATGATGACCTAATTGTTTAGAGACGGAGTTACCAGTGGCATTTGTGGTTGTTAAGTGTGGACTACATGTATTCCACTTTTATAAGATTAGTATATCTCTGAAAAAGAGGAGAGGAAAGAAAAGGCGGGTTTTTCTAGTCATAGACCTCAATGCCGGGAGATGGCACTATAGATTTAATTTTTTTCTCATTTTTTTTCTCTAATTTAACAGAAAATGTGGGCACCCTGTTTCTCTTACATACCATGGCTGCAGAGAGAATGCCATATAAAGCACTCCCTAAAAGGTAGATGGTTGCAAAAAGTGCTACCACACACAAAGCAGGCGATGGAGCGAGGTGTAAAGGAGTTGTCACATTCTGGGAAAGAAAAAATAAAATTTTAAACCATGACAGATGAAGAGGAGGTGGATATTTCAGCTTTATCCCATAAGTGAGATCTCAGTCTGCCATTAGGTCTGGCAGGAGAGGCATACTTCGGGTTTCATTTACAAAACAATATCATCTGATGGGACTCAAAAAGAGAGCCTTTTCTGTCACAGCAACCACCCTCTAGAATGCTATTCCCACAGATATTTGATTGACAGGAGGGTTGAGAACTCTAAACTTTTATCCTATGGACTCAGACATGCTGCAATAACGTAACATACCGTGTTTCCCTGAAAGTAAGACCTACCCCCAAAATACATTTCCTTCTGCCACAGAAGAAGTGGGCCAGCTGGGTGGGGCTGCTGCTGCGGCAAGGTGAGTGGAAAAGACACCCCCCAGAAATAAGACCTGGTGCCTCTTTGGGAGGCAAATAAAAAAATAAGACCAGGTTTTATTTTCGGGGAAACACGGGTATATAACCCCCCCCCACACACACACTATATGTCTCTCTGTGTGTGTATAAGTTCCTTGTACAGTATTTTTTATTTCAAATGTCATCATCTAATTGAATGAGTAATTATTCCTTTATTTATTCATAATTTCAACTTTTATTATGATCCATGAATGTTAAGCTCTGATACCATCCTTTTAAATTCTCAAATAGGAATATAAGATATGTAAAGAGCACCATTTTCTTAACTTGTATGATTATATAGACATAGTAGAAACACAACATCAGGCATTGAGATATATCAAGAAGCTGCTAATGGATTTCAAATATACAATAATGAAATTTTCAATGAAAGCAAAATTTTTCTTATTAAGGTGCATCATCTTAGATATTCACTTAATCTGAGTTATATAAGATTCTATTCTGTAATGCTTCTCATTTAGTTGTAAATAATTTAATTTCTTCCCTATGTAATTATGTGCATATTTAATTTCATTGACAGTGGCAAATAACATTGACTCTATTTTTCAGGTGCAACAATGAGAATGAATGGTATCAGATCCATGAAAATATAATTCGCAAGTCGAGCACCAAATATACAGCACCCAGTTCAAATTATGGTAATATTTTATTTTAGCTCTTTTAAAGATACATATTTTCTTTGGCAATGAAAACATTGTACTTGCCACATAGTTCACATTTTAGAGTCTGTGGTCATGAACAGTCCTCAAAGAATTATCTTTGTTGGGTATAAAAATGTGGGTACAGATGCTGGGGATTTTGCAGAACAAAGAAACGTGTTTTTTTTAAAAAAAAAAAATCCAGTAATCTCTTCAGCATGGCTAATTGTTAGTAGACATGAAATATTCATTCTCTTACCTGGGATTTATATTTCTGGCTTCAAGTTGATGTCACATGTTCAACAAGGAATATATTGTACCTGCTTATAGGTTGCTTCCTCCTCCCCTAAACGTATTTGCATATTTATCTGGCAAGGAGGGGAATGCAGAGAGTATAGCATGAGAGAAAAGATGAAGAGAGTGGGAAGTTTGCAGGGGGTGCTGCTAATATCCTTGAGAGGAAAAAAAACTTATCCTTTCTCCCAGGACATATTTAGATTATTGGGTTTGAAGCAAATCAATACCTAACGTAAGAGGTGCATGTAAGGAAACTGTGATGCAGAATGGCAAGAATTCTGTTATTATAATAGTATTGTGTGTTGCAAAATAGGACAGCTTGAAGCACTTGCTTGACATTCATTTTCAGAAGCAAAAGTCTAATAACTATATCAACAATTAACACTCATATGTAAAATTGGCTGTGGCACCTGTTTATTGTTAAATGAGATGTAACTGACTGAAAGTAAGAAAGTGTGGCTGATGTGGCAGTAACAGGGGATAGTAGAATAGAAGAGAAAAAATTGGAGAAGATCACAGAATATCAAGTTCTTAAAATCGATTTTCATCCTTGTTAAAGTATCAGATCAAAAGCCCTCATGCTTCCAAATTATTTATGCCATCTATTATTTAGAGTAATTATATTAACTAAATACAAATAGAGCAATACTATTTTTATATACCTTATTTTATGTACACTTAAAATCTACTCAACCAGCCTCCTGGGCACTTTGTTGTTCCTGTTACTCTAACAGCAACTTTGGGATTGATTTAGTCCCAGAGTTGTCACCCTAGTATTCTTATGATGACAGAAAAAGTTTTAGGTTTTAAATCTAGACTTAAACTTTTCAGTTATGAGGAATAGCAGATTTTTTTTATTCTGATTGGATAATTGTGGCATTTTGACTGCCTCAGTAACAGACCTGTTTGACTTTTATATTGAATGTGGCTTAATTTTATTCAATTTAATTAGTTATATATTATTTTTAGTTTTTATACTGTAGGTCAAGTTTATTATTTTTATTGTAAAATGACTTCCCTTTTGCTATTCCATTATTTCTCTTATAATTAGCACTGCCTAGGTTTTAAACTATCTACATCAACATCTACATCAGCAGAGGTCAAATGCCCAGCCTGGTCCTCAAGCACCCGCGGCACCAAGCCCAGCCCCACTACCCCAAGGGGGTGCCCAGCTGCACTTACCTCCTCCTCAAGGCTGCTGCTGCTGTGCTTGCTATCCTTAGCCAGGTTGCTCATGATGGGTATGAGGGCAAAGTCAGAGGGAGGCCCACTCCCTCTCCATGGGAGGAGACCTGGCTTTGTATCCAAAGCTTCCTTAGCAATAGGATGGGAGACCCCCAGGATAGGCCAGGAGGAGGGGGCAAGGGGATGGTGAAAGGGTAGCAGGGCAGGACTAAGGCAGGACTCCCTCTCCTTCCTTCCTTCCTTCCTTCCTTCCTTCCTTCCTTCCTTCCTTCCTTCCTTCCTTCCTTCGAACAGAATGGTGGGAAAATATTTGAGATGAGGGAGGGACAGGCAAGAAACGCAACTGGGGAGGTGTCACCCTTCGTGAGGAATGAAGAAATGCACCATCGCCTGGAAGTGGCCAGCACATGGCCCTTGCCTACTTCACATGTCTGGCTTGGTGGGCTTTGGGGGAGGGGACACCATGAGCAACATGAGAGTCGACGTTACCTGCACAATGCCGTCCAGCCCCCAGCCTGCCTGGTTTCAGCAGGTAGAGAGGCTCTCTCCTCACAGTGCCAAGAGGCTGAGCCAGGTAGCGCAAATCCAAAAAGAAGCGTGATGCCACCCAGCCTCCAGCCTGCCCAGTTTCAGTAGGCAGCAGGGTGCTCTCCTCACAGTGCTGAGAGGCTGAGCTGGGCAGTGCGAAGCTTGCCAGCTTTGCGCTTTGCTGCCTGCTGAAATCAGGCAGGCTGGGGGCTGAGTGGCGACGCACTTCTTTTTGAATTTGTGCCGCCTGCTCAGCCTCTCGGCACCCCACTGCCTGCTGAAACCCCTCCCCTGGAGCCCATCAAGCCAGATATGTGAAGTAGGTGAGGACCATTTGCTGGCCACTTCCAGGCGATGGTGCATTTCTTCATTCCCCACAAAGGGTGACACCTCCCCAGTGTGCGCCCAGGGGGCAGGGCCAACGCGGCAGGGGCCAGTCCCTTGCTGTTTCCAGATGGCCTTGTGGAACTAAGACTGAATGCATTTCAGCATAGATGGCCACCACAAAATTGTACATTGGCTCCTGGGCGGCCTGGGCCGGGGCCAAGGGAGCAGGGGCCATTCCCTTACTGTTTCTAGGATGGCTTCGCGGGCCACATGAAACCATGTTGCGGGCCGCATCCGGCCCCCGGGCCTTGTGTTTGACTTGTCTGATCTACATTATTGTATATTCTAATTTAATTGATACACCTTTATTTCTATTTGTATAGTTTTATCAGATATAAATACATATATCATATCATTAATATGTATTAATGTTAATATATATTACTATGTATTGTTAATATATTAATATATATCGTTATATAATTATTCTTATCAATATAATACTGTTCTTTTGAGAACTGTATTGTTACCACTTGGCTTCTGAGTACAATTCAGGGTGCTAGCTTTTACTTAAACCTTTCTTGGTTTAAGACCTGTATATCTGTACACCACTTTGTCCTACTAACATCTTCCCACTTGTGGGAAGTGGCCAATACTGGACGAAAGTAATTTAGTTTTAATTCTGTTTATTTTAATACTTTTTACACATACTATATTTTATGACCTATATCTATTTTACTTGCTCAGCATTGAATGTTATGTCTATAATTTGAAGGTGCTTCTGATAAGAATAAAAAAGATCTTCCCACTTGATAAAATGGTGTAGGATAGGCTCTTTGTGTCCTGTCACTTGGCATTACCATTTGCAGGTGTTGCCCATCTCCTCTGAACAAATACACAACTAGAATTGCTTTGTGCTGCTGTTTCCATTGTGTTGAAGAGGACAATCTCTTATATTATTTTATGCTGCCCAGAGAATCTTCAACATAAAAATATAATAATTCCTATTCTCTGATAGTATTATGTTGTCTTTAACATAATTCTGGTAATTATATTTTTTATTTGTTTCATAGTAAATTGAACTATAAGGATTTAATTTTGTTCCATTTTTTCAGGACTTATAATTTCTCTTCAACTTCTCCGTGGAGAAATGGAACAAATTCGAAGAGAATATCCTATTATCTTTAACAGAGGGGTGTCTATTACAAGAAAAGTAGGATTCCCAGATGTGATCATGCCTGGTAAGTGAATGAAAGTTCCATTTATAGCACTTATTGAATGCTGATCTTTATCAATGCAAATAGTGTTATAAAATAAATATTAAATAAAAGATGTAGCTGAGTGATTTAATTGTAAATAGTATATTTTACTAAAAATAACTTGACAGAACTAAAGCTTATAAAGGAATGTCCTTTTTAGTTTTTTTCCCAATGAAACCCCTCCTTATAACTTATGTAGAATTATAACTCCAATTGTAACTTGATAATGCTTGCTGTTCTACTTACGTTTGAAGTCTGGGGATGAATTTTTAATGCAGCAGGTTTTTTTTTCTTGATGTTACTTTAGATAATTTGAGCATGTTTAAGTCAGTCTTAAATTAGGAATGAATGCATATATATACAATGTATGGCTCTTCTTGCTAGCTGTCCACATGCCTGACTTGGTTTTAAGTCCCAGGTATGCATTAGTGTTAAGAAAGCTTGTATTAGAAAGGATTATGTTACCTATGAAACCCTTTTTGTGAGCCTTACAGAATTTCAACATGAAGTAATAGTTCTTAATGCTGCATGGAATACTGCTTTCAGAATGAAAATGGTTTCAAAATAATTTTGATCATGTATCAGCTTTTCAGCAAACAAACATTTCCTTGTTTTGATTCCTTATTGAAACATTTCATCTTCTTTTAGCATTTCAAGAAAGCAATTACAGTATCAATAAAAATATTACAATTAGCAATTATAAAAGGTTAAAAAAGGTACTTGTTACGTATTTCCAAATGTGTTTTTTGTTCTCTGTCAGTATAGAATTTTAGTACAAGGATAATTTTTAATTAATATAAAGGGCAGTGACAGATAAAATTGAATTGAATTTGTTTATGTTTAGTATTTCATTATATGGGTGCTTTGTACCACATTAATTTTATATTAAAGGACAATATAACAACAACAACAACAGCACAATAATAATAATATGTTGGAAGGGATCTTGGAGGTCATCTAGTCCAACCCCTGCTCAGGCAGGAAACCCTATACCATTTCGGACAAATGGTTGTTCAGTCTCTTCTTAAAAACTTCCAGTGTTGGAGCATTCACCACTTCTGGAAGCAGGTTGTTCCACTGGTTAATTGTTCTAACTGTCAGAAAATTTATCCTTAGTTCTAGGTTGCTTCTCTCCTTGATTAGTTTCTATCCGTTGCTTCTTGTCCTGCCTTCAGGCATTTTGGAAAATAGCTTGACTCCTTCTTCTTTGTGGCAGCCCCTGAGATATTGGAACACTGCTATCATGTCCCCCCTCGTCCTTCTCTTCATTAAACTAGACATACCCAATTCCAGCAATCATTCCTTATATGCTTTAGCCTCCAGTCCCCTAATCATCTTTGTTGCTCTTCTCATCTTTGTTGTACTCTTTCTAGAGTCTCAACATCTTTTTTACATCATGGTGACCAAAACTGGATGCAGTATTCCAAGTGTGGCCTTACCAAGGCATTGTAAAGTTGTGATAGATGTTTTATTCCAAAATATTTGAGTGAGAAATTTTATTAACTTTGTTTTAAGAATGAAACTGCTGGTTTCAATATCAAGCAATATTTTGCACTTTCGTATTCTGACATTGATACATTACCAAAATGCAGGAGATGGCCCATTCTGTTTTTTGAAAAAGAGGTTTTCTGCTTTAATAGGATACTTCATGAAATTTTGAATTTCTATTGTTTCAGAATGAATCATTTCCCAATTTCTAGAACAATAAAAGAGTGATATAACTGATGGACTCTACTAATTATGTGTATTTGATACACTATGAAATATTGGCAACTGTATTGAATGAAAACATTTGGTTTAGTTAAATGTTGAAACTGAGACCTATTTACGTTCTCGTAAATTACCTCATGACAAATAGTAATATAAGAAACAATTTGTTATATTTTATTTAAAATTCCATGGAAGACCATTCATTGTTTATTGTGAAATTATAATATACATAAATTTTCTCTAAAAAAAGAAGATTCTTCCAGTTTTAGCCAGGCAGTTCTACATTTATATTTTACTCATTTTCTAGAATACAGTCCTAATTAAGTGATATTTTTGACATGGAACATTAGTTGTCATATATTCTCTTAAAACAGATTTCAAAATAGTAAATTAATCTACATTAATACATTATTAAATATTTTATGATATTTTGAAAACTACTTGAGTTTGATGGAAATGCTTTGGCACTATGTACAGACACTTTATTTTCTGTTAATGTGTTATATAATTTGCAGATAACTCCCTTGCGATTTGCAGGGATTTTCATTTTTCAGCTACGACTTGTAATTGGATGTTTCAAATTTAATGTATAGAAATACATTTGATTTCATTAATGCCATGCTTTCTTTAGAAGTATTTTCAATAATGGAGGAAGACAAAGTCACAGACTATTAAGCATCACTTAATAAAGCAGAATGCTCGAGTACCACTAATATAGCCTAAGGACAAGAAAGAAGATAAAGTCACAGCCTCTTAGCATCCTGTAATAAAGCAAAAACTCACTTAGCCTACTAGCCTACAGCCTTCTCCACGAAAGGAAGAGTGGAACTATAATTCCATAATTGTCCATAATAGGATGGGCCAGTGATGACCTCTTAAGAAGTGGATGTACCACCACCGCCTTCAAGAGGGAGGGATCTTATCCTCCTTTAGAAGACCATACCGTTGCATGGACCAATCATTTGGTCACTTCCAAGGCCACCTGGACCCCAGAAGGGGCCAATCTCTAACAAACAGATGGTCAAGATGACAGTTTGGAAGACCTTGTCCACCTCATCAGGAATCGTGCAAACAAATTCAGTCCACATAATCTCACAATTCATTTCTTCCTGCCCAGTTAAAGTCTAAATCTGGATGAATCGGAGTGACTTTATCTTCCAGGTAGCATGAATATTCCTCACTATAGCCTGCAGGTAGTCCAGCCACCTGCCAGCAGGAAATAAGTCACTCTAAACAGATCCACTAGGTGGCTTTCAGCCAATGCAACCATGGCACAGAAATAACTATTTCATTATCCTTATTGCCTAAATAATGGTTTTACTCATGTTCAGCCAGATTCAATCTTTGATTCTGGTGCTTTATCTCCCAGAGATTCTCAGAAAACTAAGCTACTTCCCTGAATTGGCATATAGATAGCATTCATATAAAAGCAATTTAGTGTAAGGCTTTAGGCATATAACTGTTCCAGGCTGGGAGCTACTGTGTTTGTGGAGCTGTTGCAGTTTTTAAAAAAGTGTTATGAGTGTTTTTTTAATCTTGTAGTTTGTTACGTTTTTAATGTTTTAAGTGTATATTTTGGTCTTGTAATCTGCTCAGAGTCTTTTGGAATGGGTGATCATAGTAAATATAAATAATAATAATTACTTTATTATGCAATCCTTTCTTCATATTTGAAACAATACAATTAACGGTAGCTTGTCTACTTTCTGCCCTCCTTTGTTAAATTTTCAAATTATCTGGATTGTGTATGCAATCCCACAGTACCTCAGCTAATCATGTTCTGTGTGATGTGCTTTGCTATGTCTAAAATGACTATCCACAAAACAATTGATATGGTTGGTTCTGAAGCCCTCTTGGTTTGTACAAATATCTGTTTCTAAAACAGCCTTAGGAATTTGACTGAAAGCCAATTCATGCATCAGGTTTCAGATGTCTTCTTAGTGCCAACTATCTCCCTCTATCCTTTGTATGCATCCCATATCTAGAAAATCAACAAAGCAAGGATAGCTGCCAGTCTTGTGAATCTACAAAGCAAGGATTTGGAGAGATAAAAGATCTTGAAACCTGCCCAGTCTTTCAGTTGTCTTTGGATCTAGACTTGGCAGTTTCCATCTGGCTAATGCTTGCCAGTCTAGTTGAGAAGGATGTGGGTAAATATGGATGGGTGACTGTTTGAGTTTGTGTGTGTGTGCATGCGCAAAGAAAGAGCAAATTTATATTGTAATGGTAAAGGTTTGCTTACTTTAAATTCATTGGGTCTCCATGATATTACAAACAACCAGCTGTGCCTCTGTGTTTGGTTGAATATGGCTATTGACCAGCGCTGTGAGAGCGTAAGTGACCTTAAGCCAAACCTGGAGCATGTGTAGTAGCAGCGATGTCCTTTTTGGAGGGTAGTGGCTTTCTTTTTGGAACCCTGCCATGCACCTCATTGTTGTTCAGTGTTTTCCTGACGGTGGTCGCATAAATAGTGCCATTTGCAAATGTAAAAAAGACCTTTGATTGAAACACTTGTCTCTAATTCCCCCTTCAAACAGACTGGTAATCCTAGAGTTCATATACTTATGCTACATACAAATATGCAATTTAGGATCATTTTCCTCAATAAATTAATGAATAAGTATAATGTTTTTGATATATTTGTTTAATCAAGTTCTCATTATCTACAACTTGTGATATAGGGAATAAATCATTTTTCAGTTATATTTATGCAGAAATATTGAAAATTCAAAAGGATTTACTAACCTTTAAGTACTTTTAAGCACTATAGTTGCTTGAAAAAAACGGCTGGGTAAACCTGTCCTACAGAGAGGATGGGAGAATGTATGCAGTAAAAGTTAAGAGTATTGACTTTATTGTCTACAACTGTTTATAATTAGCTATCAGTGTGGAAATAGAACAATCTTGAATGATTTGACCGTTTATTTGTTAACTAGATAATTTAAAAGGAATTTGAAAATCTTACCTCATGTCTTCTCCCTCTCCTTTGTCTCATAACTGGTTTCCTATTTTCAGACTCCATAAAGCATTACCAACGGCCATCAAATATAATACACTGATATTAAATGTTCATTTTTTATTAACTATTCATTTTACAATTGGAATGAATTGCTATCTTATCAGAATAGTGAACACAATTATCATTGGCTTGTCCAGAAGAATAATTTACTATGTGCTCTTTTCTAAAAGCATTGTCTCTCCTTATATGTAGGTGATATACGAAATGATTTGTACCTGACTTTAGAGAAAGGAGACTTTGAGAGAGGTGGAAAAAGTGTTCAAAAGAACATAGAAGTAACTATGTACGTTCTGTATGCAGATGGAGAGATTTTAAAGGTGTAAATATTTACATACTTTATTCAATGTATTTCTGTCGTTGTTGGGTTTAAATTCTTTAAGATTCAAAATCTTTTATATGTGGAAGAGTTGAAATTCTTAATCAAACCTTCATTTTAAATTACCATACTGATGAACTAAAGCAAAAAATAGACTTTTCAGCTAGAAAAATTGCTTGTTTCACTGGTATGTTATGATTTTTCTTTTGCATGATTTAATCTGCTCTATTTTCTATCCAAAAAAATCTAGCATGTTTATGGAAACTTAACATAGTTTTTCTCCATTTTACACTGTGGTCAGATTTCAGCGAGGATTCCAACTACCAAACAATATTTACATGTTGAATTCTAATAACCCTCCCAAGAGAATCCACACATTTCAAATGCATTGCATAGTGTATTATAAAAACTGTGTCTTCTCATTTCTTATATCCAAAATCCAAAATCACTGAAATATTGTAATAATATTGAATAATTTACCCTACCCACATTATGGTATAGAAGTATACATAGTCAATTGTCAATTCCTTTTAAGAGAAATTAATCTTGTCTTCACTTTAAGGGCCTTCTACCTAATTATACTAGAATCTTTCTATCTATGAGGTTTTGAGACAATGTTTTATTTTTAAATTTTTGTATTCACCCATTTTAATCATTTTAGATCAGTGTTTCCCAAACTTGACAATTTTAAGGCATGTGGACTCCCAGTTGAAGTCCACATGCCTTAAAATTGTCAAGTTTGGGAAACACTGTTTTAGATTATGCTCACATGGTCCTGTTAGAGCAAAGAAATAGATTTAAACCCAGAGAAGAGGCTGGACACCCAGAGGAAAGCTTTCTGTGTATCCATAATCATGATCGCCACTCATTTGCTTCTTCTTAACTTTTTGTGGTAATTAACTTTATGGATCATGTACTGAATTGCTTTAACACTTAAGCTGTTATTGTTTCCACCTTGGGCTAAATATACAGACACATTTTCTGTATTTTCTACTCCTTTCCTTTTTGTGAGTCCTTACTTTGACTCAGTCAACTAAATATTTTGGAATATTTTTCTGAGGTTTTCCACATTAGCAACTTGAACCCATAATCCAGCCTCAGCCTCCAGGGAAATATGTACCAAGTCTGGCCCCAGGATGTGACAGTGATGCAGTTCCAGCTTGACACCAGGATATCACAGCAACACCCTTACCATATTGGCTCCTATTATCCCCAAGACACCTCATTCAGTATGTTCTTTTCTCCCTGCCATAACATTCAAACTATATCCTTTTATACTATTTAAGCAAAGCTAAAAAAAAGTTGAACAAGTTTACTTTTATTGCTTGTTTAGATACTGTTAAATTAGGTTAGATACTGTTTCTCCTACCTAAAACTCAGCAAATGGTTACCAAATTTAATATCAAAAATTCAGATATTTATTTATTTGTTTGTTTGTTTGCCATCCATCTCATATCAATATGACTCTGAGTGGCTTACACCATTAAAACATTAAAATCCTTAGAGATAAATATTTCTACAACAATAAAATGGAAATCACAATCAAAATAAAAAGATCAGGAACGGAACAGGATGTACATGGGGGGGGGAGATGGAATTGCTTCTTAATTCATCAACCACATCCAGTGTGATGATGCACCCTTATTGGGGCCCCAAGCCATTTGACAGAACCAAGTCTTCAGGGACTTGCAGGAGGTCAAAAGGGTGGGAGCCAATTTCACCTCAGAGGATAAGACATTCCAAAGGGCAGGAGTCATGGCAGAGAAGGTCCTTCTCTTGGATTCAGTCATAAGGAATTCCTTGTCTGAACATGCCCTCTCTGCCAGCCAATTTATAATATAAGGAAGAGAAAAATGGGAAAAAACTGACTGACGTTCCATCAGAACTGAAGAAGCTTCTTGGATGAGAAGCGGAATGTTTTCAAGGAAATAAACTAAGAAAGTCTAGTTGCCTTTTAAAAAGCACCTTTGGGAAATGTCTGTGCATAGGTTTTAACTATAAATCAGTTTAATTGAATCTTCACTTGTGGACTTGGTCTTTTGCACCTGACATAAAGCAAAATTATCCTTTACTTAACGTTTCCTGGATTACTCTAGCTTTGTGGGGATACCAGATTTTCCACAGAGACTTTTTTGGAGACAGAAGACTGAATGTGTTCTGTGTCCAGTAGAGGAAGGAGCTGGAGCATGTGACAGACCCTCCCCCTGTCTTTCCCTCTCTCCCTCCCTCTCCCTCTCCCATGGGAATGTGAATTCACAGTCTGGCATAAGGGGCTACTTGCACAACACAGACTAATTAAAATATATAGAATCCTTGTATTGTTAACATGAGGTTGTTAGTATCTTAGTATCTTATATCACGTTTACTGTAATATTTTAGTATTCTTACCTTGTCCTTTTTTTTCTAGGACTGCATTAGCTTAGGCTCAGGAGAGCCAAACAGAAGTATGTACCATTCGTTTGTTCTCTATCATAATAATAGCCCTCGCTGGGGAGAGGTCATCAAACTCCCAATTCCCATTGACAGATTCCGTGGGTCTCACCTCCGTTTTGAATTCAGACACTGTTCCAGTGAGTATAATTTGTTAATATTTTTACATAATTTTTATTAAGGATTATATTAAATAGATAAGACAAATAACCAAACCTACCAAAATACAGGTAGCCCTCAACTTATCACCACAATTGGTCATTGAGTGAAGTGGTTGTTAAGCAAGATGCCCAAGTGACTGCTTCAGTCAACGACCCAACCCTGGTACCTCAGGAAATGGGGGAGTCTTTGGGAGGCCTAGGCCAGCTACAGGGCCCTCCAGTGTACGTAAACCTTCCATGTGCCAGAATGCCTGGCCCCTCTTCCTGTCCCACCACGCCAAGGAGGCCTGGGCCTTAGCCCCACACTACTACGCCCAAGAGGCCTTTTCCCTGTCCAGCTTCTGTTTTCTTTTAATATTTTTTCCTCTTTTCTAGAAATTCTTATCATCTTTCAAGGTCCATTTGTAATTTTCATGAAGTAACTCAAATAAATCTCTTACAGTTCAATTTAAAAGGTTATTCCACAATATATTTTTAAATTTTTATATATATTATTTTTAATTTTTAATATTTGCTATTTATTATAAGAAATTATAAAAAGTAAAGATTTTACAAAGCTGGACAGATGCGATGTTCTTTCTTTTCCAAATGGATTGAAGAGAATTCTACCCAGTGACTGTGGCTCTGAAGGTTTTTCAATCTTAAAAAAACAGTAATAAAGGTAAAGCTCCAAAGTGAATAAAAAGATGAGGTTTCGTTGAACCTTGAGTCCTGAAAAGGTGCATTTATGGCTTGGAGCATGATGGAATCCGCAACTTCCAGCTGATCGCAGCTGGCTGCAAAAATAACCGCTTCTGCTGTCTGCTTATATAAATCAGCTGTCCAAAGTACATGGGGGCAATCTCCAGTTCTTTCTTCCAGAGAAAATTTTGGCAGTCCTCATCTCACATCTACTGTAGCTGCCCCTGCAAAAATGCAGGCATTGGTTTTCGCCTCACCAGAAGCATCTCCAAGTTTCTATATCTGCAGGAGATCTTATTGTCGTATTTTGCATGTTTTCATTAGATTAGTGGATAGAGCAGGAAATAATTTGAAAATATATGACAATGTAAATTATTGCACCTATGTCAACCAGCAATAGTCGCAGGAACTTACCTAACTTATAGCTACGCAAGTATAAAATTGGTTGGAAGCAGTTTTTTTTATTCTTGCAACTTTATGACATATCAGGTTGTGAATGACTAGTGCAGAATCACCCACTGAATTGCATGCTTTAGTGAGGATTTGAACTCTGGCTTCTTTAGTCATACTTATGCACTGTGACTACCATAGTATATTGACTTTTCATTTGTTACAGATAACCTAAGGACCTAATCTGTCATTTTAAAAATGTGTGTAAATATTTGATTTGGTTTTGCAGCAAAAGATAAAGGAGAAAAGAAGCTCTTTGGCTTTGCATTTACACCATTAATGAGAGATGATGGCACTACCCTATCTGATGATATTCATGAGCTTTATGTTTATAAGGTAGTATTCTTCATTCTGATCCTTCCATGCTTATATCTCCTCTTTGACTTATATTTAATGCGAGAAACACGTCTGCTTGACTAGGGGGTTGGACTAGAAGACCTCCAAGGCCCCTTCCAATTCTGTTATTCTGTTCCATAAAAGTTTGCAGTTTTGGAATTCTAAGAATGTTGATAACTTTTTCTAAATAAACAGTCAAAATATTGCAGTTAATAATCATGGAAAAGTATCAGTAAAAACTTTGTTCCTTTTTTCTTGCTTTATACTATAGCCATCTGAGCACAATATTAACACAAATTGAAAAAAGGTTCCTTACCTACCATTTTGGAGTGTTCTGTTACTGCTTTTGGATAGAGTAGAGTATCACACACAGAATCTGAAAAAAATACTCCATTTAGCAAAGAAAGTTATTTTGTTTTGAGTCGCTAGAATAGATATTTAGAATCCTTGACAGGTAAAATAAATGAAAAGTGTGGCATTTTGGGATCACAGGGATACATTTTAATCCCCGTGAAAACAAATTACTCATTCTGATTCTGATATTTAAAGGAAGCTAATTCTAATGGCAGATACATGTAACTTTTTGATTATTGTAAAAATGAAGGTTTTCTAAATGATGTAATTAATAAATAAAGGTTGTACGCATTTGTAGGCAAAACATATACATGAATAAGATCAGTGTTGCTTCTCAATATAGTCTGATTAGCAGTAGATATTGATTAGATATTGGCAAATAACCGTAGTTCGGGCGGATGAGGGTGAAGGTTCGTTCTCCAGCTTGTGAGTTGGTTTCCGAACATTTTTGTACCAGGCTAGGTAACATCTTCAGCAGAGTTTAGGGGATGTCAATGTTCTTCTGTGGTCAGTAGGTCTTGTGAGGGTCAGGTATGAGTGTGTCAAGTGAGGGTCTTGTGATAGGTCAGATATGAGTCATCAGTGAGAGTCTTGGGATGGGCCTTGGGATGGGGAAGTTACATCAGGTGAGGGTCATTGGGAGATGCTGGTTGAGGCTTGCTTGGATTGGTTGAGGGTCGGTGCTGTCTCTAGTTGGTTGTGTGATTGATTTGGATTCTAAGGGGTTTGTAAGCTGGTTGTAGATCAATGTGTCTGTTGATGGAATTGCTTGTGGAGTGCCAGGCTTCGATTGGAGTAACACAAAAGTCATTGGCCATGCTAGCACCTGTCACACTCATGAGTTCATCAAAGCCTGGCACTCCACAAGCAATTCCATCAACAGACACATTGATGTAACCTCTCCATCATAAGACCCATTATGAGACTCTTACTAATGACTCACACCTGACCCATCACAAGACCCATTATAAAACCCTCACTTGGAACACCCACACCTGACCCATCACAAGATCCATCATAGGACCCTCACTTGACACATCCACATCTGATCTATCACAAGACTTGCTGACTACACAAAGCCCTTATAAACAGAACACTGACACTGACACCTCCTAAACTTCTCTGAACATGTTACCTAGCCTGATAATGAAATGTTCGGAAACCAACCCACAAGGCTCAGAGGATGAATCTTCACTCTAATCTGATTAATGTAACAATGTATAGAACAAAATAAAAAATTGAATAATTTATTTTCTTGTATCTCCAGTGTGATGAAAACAGCACATTCAATAACCATGCACTTTACTTGGGTCTTCCATGCTGCAAAGAAGATTATAATGGTTGTCCCAACATCCCTTCAAGCTTGATTTTTCAGCGCAGCACCAAAGAGTTGTTTTCAATCACTACTCAGCTGTCTTCTACCAAACTTACTCAGAATGGTACAGCAGTTTTTTATTCCAAGAATTCATAAGACAGATGATACATAGTCTACCTTTTCATTAAAGCATAATGGTCTTACTTATATACATGCTTGAGACGGATTTTCACATGGCAGTTCTGATTGATTTGGTTACTTGCAGCATGTATCTGATCTTGAAAGACTCTGTTTCTATGTGTATGAAAAAGTTGTGAAACACAAAACAGAAAATATTTTCGAATTAAAAATACATACTTTGCTGTGATTAACTTCCCAATCACAATTGTAAATAAAATATAATTTATTATTTTAATAATAACAGAAAAATTCAAAGAATTGAGTATTTAGTGTACAAATTCATAACAAGTAGCCTTGAAAATTTATTATTTACTCACGAAATGAGTAGTTGGTAGGTGTAGTAGTAGGTGGTTTACAGTATTACAGTATTTCACCTACGAATGCAGAAAGAAGCTACATTTTCTATGTTCAACCTGTGTCTTCAGGGATTGGTAATAAAGCTCAGGTTTTTATAATAGTTTAATAAATTCCAATAGCTTAATGTCTATGAACTTAATGGACAATTGTAAGAAAAAACTGTTTTCTTAATTACCTGGCTTGCCTAGATTATAGTTGTTTTATGTAACTGTTGTTTAACAAAGTAACTCAGAAAACAAATTGATGCTTATTTTTTCTAGCATTAATTTGAAAACAAAAATTTAGTTAGCTTATACATTCTTATTTCCTTATTTCTTTTTGTGAGATAGCTGGTTGCTTCCAATTTACATTGTAAGGGCAGCTATATACACAAACTACTTCTCACCAAAATAAACAAGCAAAAACCACATTCTAACTTAATTAAGCAAGTCCTCTAAACATTTGACCAAATTTACCTTTTGCCACTTAAATATTTTACCATTTGGATTCAGGCAGAACAGATAAAGAAGCAATTATTCTTTCCTATTGATCCTGACTCCTGGTGATCACGTGGATATACCCATGTAGTTTTTCTGATAACAAAAATTGATGTGATTGGCATTTTTTTCCAGTTAATCTTTCTTGATTTCCCTTCCAAGTATAAATTAGGTCCTATCCTACAGAGGTTTTTTTCCAAGATCAACCAACTTGTCTAGATCCCGCCACCTACTGTAATTACATCAAGCATTTTCAGATAGGACATATTCCTACAATACTTACTAAATTAAAGTTGTTTAGACAGCATTTTTAAATATGGTTTAGTATGTTTTGCTGTTATGTTTTAGTTATGCAGTATGGAAGACACTGCAGTTTGTTCAATGATCATGACTGTAAAAACTCCATTCTGGTTTATCATTATGAGTGAACATACCTAATGAGTAACAAAATCACATTATTTCATATACAAATAAATACCTTAGATTATGTGTTTTTATAGCCTTTAAAAACACCTAATGGAGTTTTCTAGAATTAAAAAGGAAGCAAATAATTTTTAATTTGGAAAAATATTAGAAATATAATGATCTGATAGCACAGACCTTGAAAGAAGAGAAAAATCCTGCTAAATAACATGTTTTTCTAACATGTTTTCTCCCTTATCAAATTGTGAAGTGCACTTTCATTTGAATTAATGTTTCTAGTTCACATACTGTGAAAACAAGAGAACAATATAAATGAAATTCTAAGTATTAATCACAATTGTGTCCAATAGTTTCTCAAATTATTTAACAAATATATTTTATATTTTGTTCATGCCCAGGGCTAAATGATCTTCATAAAAATCCACAAAAAATTGCTACCAATGTATTCAGAGTGTTTTAGATAATGGTACTATTGTTTATATACTTATTTATATATTATTTCCTTTCTATTATATACAGTGGACCTGCTTGCTCTTCTGAAATGGAAAGCTTATCCAGATCGTGTAATGGATATTTTAGGTAGACTACGCCAAGTTAGTGGTGAAGAAATTGTTAAGGTATTGAATTTGGTCTAAGCTATTATTAACAAATTAATTACAATAACTCATTGTTTTTAGGAAAAAACCAAAACGATTGATTAATATTTGTATTTATCAATAAATAAAATCTCAGTGTGGTTACCTTAATCATCAGTGTAAGAAGCGATATGTCAAATTCTCTTCATTAGTTTATGAACTAAAATGATACGGAGGACCCTGAACTATTTCAAATCTTCTTTTCCTGCTGCATTTTTTTAAAAATAACACGGGTATATTGTCAGGCCCAGTCCCATCTAGTCCAATACTTTATTTGCTTCGATTTAATAGAAGGAATCCTGCCAGGCTAAAGCTATAACCTTTTAACCTAATAGATATTGTTATGTCCCGAGCCTTGCAAACGGCTCGGGCGTTTGCAGGCAGTCCCGGGCAGGTGCAAAGCTGCCCGGGACCAGACAGGCTGTCGCCAGCGCCGTGCGCATGCGCGGGTGCTGGCGCGGGAAAAGTAGCACATTTGCCCGGGAAGCGTCTATATAAGAAGCTGGGAGGTTTTGGGAGCTGCTGAAGCCATCTAATTGTAAGCTGAACGCTGAATAAAGGAAACTGAGAACTTCAACTGCTTCTCGTGTCTGCTTCCCGCCAAGGACTCAACACTGGCGACGAGGGTGGGATGCCTTGCACTACCTGGAAAGGAAGAAGTGTAAGCTTACCCAAGGAGTCCTGAGCGGCGGAAAGGAACGGCGTCGACTCGGCAGCTGCCCGCCAATCCGGTGCGCATTCGGGGGTAGGCTGGCTGATAGACCCGTCTCCTGAAGATTGAAGATGGCGAAAATCGGAAGGCTTTCGGAATTCGACATCTCACATCCAGAGCGGTGGGAGTCATACGTAGCCAGGGTGGAGAACTACTTCAAGGCAAACCAAGTGAGGGAAGAGAGCTTGAAGGCTGCCACCCTGCTTTGTGTTTGCGGTCAAGACGCCTGCGACATCGCAGAAAACCTTGCAGCACCTGTTCCAGTAGAGTCTGTCAGCTACGCAGATCTGAAGAAGCTACTGAAGGAGCACTTCCACCCCAAGATGTCCGTCATCGCATGGCGCCACACCTTCGAGCAGAGGGATCAACGGCCCGGCGAGTCGGCCAAAGAATTCATCGCCGCATTACGGAAGGCCGCCAGGCACTGCGAGTTCAAAGACCCGAAGAACGACTGAGGGACCGATTCGTGTGCGGGTTAAGGCATCGAGATCTACAACAGAGACTTTTCGCTAAAGAAGAACTGTCCTACCAAGATGCCTTAAGGGAAGTCACCGCAGAAGAAGCAGCAGGCGGCGCTATCAAGAACATGCGGCCGATCAGAAACAGTCCAGAGGTTGCATCCGTGCACCAGGAAGACGCCCAAAGGAACTCCGAGGAGGATCCAGACGAGGAAGTCGACCGTCTCCACCCCACGACGGAAGAAAAACAGAAGGGAAGCTCTTCAGCTCCGCTCAAGTGCATCGGCTATGGAGGTCGCCACAGGAGAACCGACTGCAAGTTCCGCTCCGCTACCTGCCGGGCATGCGGCAAACAAGGACACATTGCAGCTGTGTGTCTGGGCCGACGAACGGTACAACCTCAGGAAGAACCGCGCCTGAAAGGTACCAGATTCCCCAGCCAGAATAGGGTAGGGTTTTGCGCTTCGCGAAGAAGCATCCTTAGGACAGGCACACACAAGCCAATTAAGAAAAAGCTGTCACTAAAGGTGAAGCTACAAGGGGTTCCATTATCTATGGAACTAGACACAGGGTCTGCCTTTTCAATTATCTCTTTGCATACATTTAGGAAGATTTGTTCCGGTAGTGGAACTCAGGCCAAGTTAAGGCCTTCTGACATTGTGTTAACAGATTTTCAAAATTCAAGAGTGTGTGTTAAGGGGGAGGCCACCCTTAACGTGCAATACAAGAATTTTGAAGGTCCACTAGACTTATTAGTAGTAGGGGTGAACGAACGAGTCTCATAGGACTCGATTGGTTTGAGGCCCTGGGGATACATGTCACAGGACTCAACAGCTTACAAACACTCGACCTACAGGAAGTCTGCAAAGAATTTGCAGATGTTTTCAGCCCCCAGCTGGGCACATTCAAAGGACCCCTGTGTCCTTAAAGCTAGACCCCACTGTCACTCCCATTAGAATTAAAGCAAGAAGGGTCCCTTTTGCTTTAAAGAGTAAAATTGACACTGAGTTAGACAAACTGATTCAACAGGGAATCCTAGAACCTGTTGATTCCAGTCCTTGGGAGACCCCCATTGTCACGCCTCGAAAGGCAAATGGGGACATTCGCATTTGTGCTGACTACAAATGCACTCTGAATAAGGCATTGCAGCAACATGCCTATCCTGTTCCTGTGGTCAGTCATATTCTGGCCTCCCTCAAGGGGGGGGCGCGTTTTTGCAAAGCTTGACCTAGCTCAAGCGTATCAACAGCGGCCTGTTGATGATGATGCTGCTATAGCTCAGACTATTGTGACCCACAGGGGAGCCTTTAAGGTAAAAAGGCTGCAGTTTGGAGTGAATGTCGCTCCTGGGATTGTCCAAAGCGTAATGGAAAACACACTGCGGGGCATACCGGGGGTTTGCCCCTACTTTGATGATGTCTTAATTGCAGGAGACTCCACACACATTCTAGCTGAAAGGCTAAGGGCTGTTCTGTTAAGATTCAGGAAGTCAGGCCTCAAGCTCAAAAAAGACAAATGCAAGATTGGGGTGCCTTCTACTGAATTTCTGGGGTTCAAAAGTGATGCTGCTGGGATTCACCCTGCTGAATCCAAACTGACAGCTATTTTAGAAGCACCTAGGCCAAAGTCCAAGGCCGAACTTCAGGCCTTCCTGGGCCTCCTGAATTTCTACAATTCTTTTCTTCCACATAAAGCTAGTGTAGCTGAGCCTATTCACAGGCTACTAGACAAACAAGCAGTGTGGCAGTGGTCACATACACATGAGGCTTGCTTTAACAAAGTCAAGGCCTTGCTCACTTCTAACAGTGTACTTGCACATTTCAACGAATCTCTTCCTGTGTGCATCGCATGTGATACGTCCCCTTACGGGGTAGGAGCTGTCCTAAGCCACCTCAGGTCTGATGGAACTCAGGTTCCTGTTGCATATTACTCCAGAACATTGTCTTCTGCTGAGCGCAACTACGCTCAGATAGACAGGGAGGCTCTGGCTGTTGTCGCTGGAATTAAAAAATTCCACGATTTTCTCTATGGCAGGCATTTCAAGGTCTTTACTGACCATAAGCCTCTGCTGGGACTGTTTACCACACGTAAGCAGACTCCCCAAATCATTTCCCCTAGAATGCTTAGGTGGTCTATTTTTCTGTCTGCATATGATTTTTCTTTACTCCACAAGCCTGGGAAAGAAATGGGCCATGCTGATGGCCTCAGCAGATTGCCTCTGCCAATAGTAGAAGCTGACCCTGCGCCAGCTGTCAACATTCTATCAATCCAAGCCTTGCCCGAGCTCCCTCTTTGTGCCAGGGATGTTGCCACTGAAACAGGTACAGATCACACACTTTCACGTGTCCGTTCCTGGGTTTTGTCCGGTTGGCCTGAGCACTGCCCTAGTCCTGAGTTTCAGAGTTTCTGGTCCAAAAGAAACGAGTTGTCCCTTTCTCAGGGTTGTCTGCTTTGGGGAAACAGAGTTGTCATTCCCTCCTCGATAAGGACTAGGGTCTTGGAATCCCTCCACGAGGGTCATCCTGGCATTGTTCGTATGAAGGCTCTTGCACGCAGCCACTTGTGGTGGCCTGTTTTAGATAAGGATATTGAGGCTAAGGTGCATGCATGCCACCTGTGCCAACGATCTCGCCCAGAGATGCCCCAAGCTCCCGTGCATAAAGGGGAGGAAACGCAGTCCCCATGGTCTAGGGTGCACATTGACTACGCTGGGCCCTTTCAGGGCCAGTTCTTCTTGGTCCTTGTTGACAGCCATTCAAAATGGCTTGATGTTGTACCTGTCTCTTCCACCACCACTGCAAAGACTATTCAGGTACTGAGGGGGATTTTTGCTGCACACGGGCTTCCAGATGTCATCGTGTCTGAACGGCCCTCAATTCACTTCCTCCGAATTCCAAGCTTTCTTACAGGCTAACATGATTCGTCATGCCACGTCTGCACCCTTCCACCCGTCCACCAACGGTATGGCTGAACGTATGGTGCGCATCACAAAGGACGCCTTGAAAAGACTCACCTACGGGGACTGGCATCACAGGTTGGCTGACTTTCTCCTTTCTTATTGCACCACACCGTCCACTTCTACAGGGAGAAGCCCAGCTGAACTTCGCTGGGGGTGTCAACTTACGACTAAACTTGACCGGTTGCATCCGGACAGACTGCCTTCATCTACCTCACATCCTAGGGCACCTAGACAACTACTTGTGGGTGCCCCGGTTTGGGCTCGCAATTACGGGCCTGGTCATACCTGGGTCCCCGTTTCTATTTCCAGGGTCACAGGTCCTCTCTCCTACGAGGTTGCCCTGGACAACGGTCGTGTCCTGCGTCGGCACATCGACCAACTCCGCCCTAGGCGGGACTTTTCAGATGAGACTCCTGGGTCTTTTCCAGGGGGGGGGGGAGGGGGACCCTTTGGAGCAAAGGGAAGGGCACGAGCTGCTGCCCATATCCACTGATGGAGCCACAAACGGCCCATCCCAGGGTTCCGCAATTGCTCCGAAAAGGAATTCATGGAGCTTACCCACACAACAGGCACTCACGCCTACTCCAGCCAGGGAGGATACCCGGGGGCATCCCAACAAATCATTCCCCGCGAGAGAGCTGGCACACAATCCCCAAGGTTGGCCTGACCTTACCCCAAATTCTACAGGGGGTCAAACATACAGGGAGGTGGTCGAGGAACCAAGTCCCGACTACAACACCTCTAGCCCAAATCAGGGAGTAATTGAGTTTTGGGAAAGTACAGAAACCCACACAAGCCCGGACACAGAACGGGGTTCAGGGAATGGTCAGCCTCCTGACAGGTCTTGGACGGACCTAGGAGGTTCAACAGAGATGCCCAGCAGTGGCTATCACTTCACGGGGCCCGAGGGTCTACAGCTAGGCAGGTCAACCAGGTCACAAAGTGACAGAAGCCCTGGCCTGACGAGCCCGGTGGGCGAGCAAGCAGGCCAGGCAGCGGGGCACAGTCCTTGGAAGGCACCAAGGCAAAATAAGGAGAACAGGCTCACATCTCCCTCCCGTCAGGGAACTCATGCTAGTAACCCAGAGCTGAGAAGGTCACAGAGAGCAAAGAAGTCTCCTAAATACTTAGAGGATTACATAACATTGCTGGCTAAACAAAAGCCAGGTAACGATAGGAGTACTGAGAAGCAGAACACTGTATAAAATAAATGTTTATATGTTGGTAATAGTTTTAGCCCGGGGGAAAGGGGTGTTATGTCCCGAGCCTTGCAAACGGCTCGGGCGTTTGCAGGCAGTCCCGGGCAGGTGCAAAGCTGCCCGGGACCAGACAGGCTGTCGCCAGCGCCGTGCGCATGCGCGGGTGCTGGCGCGGGAAAAGTATCACATTTACCCGGGAAGCGTCTATATAAGAAGCTGGGAGGTTTTGGGAGCTGCTGAAGCCATCTACTTGTAAGCTGAACGCTGAATAAAGGAAACTGAGAACTTCAACTGCTTCTCGTGTCTGCTTCCCGCCAAGGACTCAACAGATATATTCTGAGAGATTCTAGGTGTGGCCACTCTTCCTCCCTCCCCCAGCTAGTTCAGGAGTGCACAGACTTTTATTCTGGGCTGGAATGTAGAGTCTCCTCCTGGGGAAACCATGGTATTCTTGCCGAGATCCCTTCCCCAGGTGCACATTTCATCACATGTATTGATAATGTGTGATATAGTATTAATAAAGCTAACAAATAATGCTTAGTCTTGACAATCTGCACCTCTGGGGTTACAATGACAACTAGGATTTTCTGGATTGCTGTTACTCAGTGACATGGTCACATGACATCACCTTTTACACCACATTGCTTAGTGACAAGAATTTCAGTTCTAACTGCAGTCGTAACTCAAGGATTAAAATTATCAGTTTACACCAAATGGCTGGAAATTTTCCCCCAAAGCCATTTGAACATTTTCCTGCCAGCATCCTTGTCCTCACTTTTACCATCGTATGCTTGTTCTTGTTGTGGATCATGTCTAGATCCTTATTAATTTTTAAAAATATAAAAATGTGTATATGATTGCCTATATTATATAAATATATAAATATAACCATAGGTAGTTATCAAATACATAAATAATAAATAAGCAAGATCAAACTTCTAATACTTCATTAGTGCCATATGAGAAGCCTGTCAAAAAGATTAATCTGGATTTTTGATAGTCATTATTGAGTGGATTTGCCTTAATAAAAAGGGTTCATAAAACAAATTGAAGACTAGAAAAAATTAAATTTGCTCAGAATATCTGGTTTTGATTTTCTATATAATATTGTATTTTAGAATTAAAAGAGAATAATAAATGTACTTCTTACAAACAATGTCAGAAAATTATGAAATTGTTTGGTTTGCTAGAACTTTCTAAAAAGAGATACTAAAAATCCCTGTGCTTTTCCAGTTCTTGCAGGATATTCTGGATACATTGTTTGTGATTCTGGATGATAACACAGAAAAATATGGACTTCTGGTCTTTCAATCTTTGGTAAGCACAAAATATTTCTGACAGATAACTATTTTGAGGCAAGATATGAGGGCATTTTCCCATCAATACTTTTCTAAACATTAAGATACTATTTCCCTTCACCGCATTAGTTGCTGAAACTTTTCCAAATCCTTTTTAATCACTTGTGGATCCACAACTACCATAGTACCTTTTTCTGTTTTTTTTAATTGTTTGTTTATTTTTATCCCACCTTTATTATTTCGCAAATAATTCAAGGCAGTGAACATATCCAACACACCTTTCTTCTCCTATTTTCCCCAAAACAACCCTGTGAGGTGAATTGGGCAGAGAGAGAGAGAGTCAAGGTCACCCAGCTGGCTATCATGGCTAAGGCAGGAATAGAACTTTCAGTCTCCTGCTTTCTAGCCTGATGCTTTAACCACTAGAACCAACTGGCTCTTTAGTTGATCCTTGTTTCCAAAAATTCAGATTAATGGTGATTTCCACGAGCTTCTTTGAATGCTAAATGTTATTGCCTCTTAACTTTGAAATGTTGAAAAATTGCCACATGTTTGAGTGTTCAGCTAGCCTTGGAAATATTAGAATACAGTAGTTGTAAATTATTTTATTCTTAAATGTTAAGTATTGTCATGACTTTCTGTGAATTAAATTTACTGATTTGGGCCATCTGATGGTGAAGTTTATACACCAATTACAGTCATTCTGTTATGTATGGCAATATACAAATAGCCTACGTCAGTGGTGGCGAACCTATGGCATATGTGCCAGAAGTGGCGCTCAGAGCCCTCTCTGGGGGCATGCGCGCCGTCGCCCCAGTCCTAGGCCTTCAGCTGGGTTTTATAAAATCTTTTCGCTTTAGGCCTCCGCCACCATGTACAAAAAAAAAAGGTTCAATCAATCAGTCAATTTCAACTTCTCGTGAAAAAAAAAAGATCTTGTAAAGTTGGAATTGATGGATTGAACTTTTTAGTCCCACCCAGTCTGCCGTTACCACTGCAGCCACACCCACCCAATGGGCCACAACCAGCCAATGGGCCACAACCAGCCAATGGGCCACACTCACCCGGCACCCAACAATGCATAAGTGGGTTTTGGGTTGCAGTTTGGGCACTCAGTCTCTAAAAGGTTCGTCATCACTGGCCTACGTACTCTTAAGAAAAAAATATTTCTGAGCTAATGAGTAAACTAAGAATTCATTTTAATATGAGAACTGATTCTATTGTTTGTGTATTTGGCTGCCTAAATTGGGACTGAAGAATCATTTTTTATTGTTAAAAGCTAGAAATCAAGCATCCTTGAAAATCTGCAAATTACTTTATGTAGGTTTTGACCATCCTATTTTAAGAAAGACAAGGCACTTGCTATTTCATTTTTCTTGATTAAAATCTAGAGAGCCAACAGGTATCTGTTTAGAAAACATTCTTAAATTAAAATATTCTTAATTGATCAGTGTTTTAAATTCTAGGGCTATTGTTTACTTCATATTCAAAAGGAAAAAGGTGATTTGTGTGGTGCAAGGAGCCATGACCACCTTTTCAAAATAGCTGTATTTTTTTCTCAAAATCATGCAGTAAGATTGAAATATAATCATTCCTTACAAGGATTTCAGCAGTGGCAAGATCTAATAAAAGGAACTTCACATAAAGTCATAGTGGCATCATACAATTTAAAAAGGGGAAGGATGATTAAAATTCAGCATTAAAAGTTAATTAAAACAGAGGTCTCTAACCTCCAGGCCACGGCCCACTACTGGGCCTTGAACCTTTTAGAACTGGGCGGTGGAAGTGGTGGGCGAATGTCTGTGCACTCATCCTTACCATGTTTCCCTGAAAATAAGAACAGATCTTATATTGGCGGGGACCAAAAGACCCGTTAGGGCTTACTTTCAGGGGAATGTCTGACTTTGCGGCTACCCACCCTCTCCATCCCACTGTCTGATTGCTCGCAGTTGCAACGGGCAGGAGAGCATGCGTTGCACAGGTGCCACTGCCATGAGGTGAGGTGAGGTAGGTGGTGGAGTTGGCTCATGCGCCCCACATACGCTTACTCCCACAGCCAAGCCACTCTTGCCCCTTGTAATGGAGGATGGGCAGGGGAGACTTGGTTACCTTACCCGGTCCCTCTCTACCATTTCAGAGCCAGGGGGGAGTAATGGCGAAAGGCCTACGCTGCTGCTACGCATCAGCCACATCTGTCGCTGGAGGGCCTGCCGGCCCTGCCCCACAGATCACCTGTCCGGTGGCTGCCTCTTCTTCCTCTGTCTGCCGCTTGGGTCCTACAGTCCTGTATCGCACTGCCTGTTGCCTGTTCGCCACTGTATTGTATGGTTTCAATGGCCGCCATTCTGGATGCTGGTAGTAGGCTCTCTGAATTTCGTTTTTTGCATCCGTCTTTACACAAAGGGAAAAAACAGCCCAACCTATCAAAAACAGTACAGATGGATTACACTCCAAGGTTCTCAAGGAACTGGCAGATGTGATCTCATAGCCACTGAACTATATCTTTCAAAGATTCTGGAGCACTGGGGAATTACCGAAGGACTGGAAAAGAGCTGATGTAGTTCCAATCTTCAAAAAAGGAAAAGAAATGGATCCAGGAAATTACAGACCTATCAGCCTGACCTCAATACCTGGGAAAATTCTGGAAAAGATAATCAAATAATGAATCAGCGAACACATAGAGGCAAACAAAGTCATTATCAAAAGCCAACATGGGTTTGTCAAAAACAGATCATGCCAGACAAACCTTATTGCATTCTTTGACCAAGTGACAAAATTAGTGGACCAGAGGAATGCTGTGGATATAATTTATTTGGACTTCAGTAAGGCATTTGATAAAGTAGATCACAACCTACTACTTGATGAGATAGAAAAATGTGGGTTAGACAGCATCACCACCAGGTGGATTTGTAGCTGGCTGACTGGCTGTACTCAGCATGTAGTTCTCACTGGAACTGCATCTACATGGAGGGAAGTGAGTAGTGGGTTGCCCCAGGGCCCAGTGCTCTTCAACATCTTCATCAATGATTTGGATGAGGAATAGATGGGGAACTCATCAAATTTGCAGATGACACCAAGCTGGCAGGAATAGCCAACACTCCAGAACACAGGCTTAAGATATAGAAGGATCTTGACAGACTTGAACACTGGGCGCTATCTAACAAAATGAAATTCAACAGTGAAAAAAATAAGGTTCTACATTTAAGCAAGAAAAACTAAATGCACAGGTATAGTATAGGAGGTACTTTGCTCAATAGTAGTAACTGCGAGAGGGATTTCTGAGTCCTAGTGGACAATCACTTAAATATGAACCAGCAGTGTGCTGCAGCTGCCAAAAAAGCCAACACAGTGCTAGGCTGCATTAATAGAGGGATAGAATCAAGATCACATGAAGTGTTAATACCACTTTACAATGCCTTGGTAAGGCCACACTTGGAATACTGCATCCAGTTTTGGTCACCATGATGTAAACAAGATGTTGGGACTCTAGAAAGAGTACAGAGAAGAGCAACAAAGGTGATTAAGGGACTGGAGACTAAAACATACAAGGAACGGTTGCTGGAATTGGGTATGTCTAGTTTAATGAAGAGGAGGATGAGAGGGGACATGATAGCAACGTTCCAATATCTCAGGGGTTGCCACAAAGAAGAGAGAGTCAAGCTATTCTCCAAAACACCTGAAGGCAGGACAAGAAGCAATGATGGAAACTAACCAAAGAGAGAAACAACCTAGAACTAAGGAGAAACTTCCTGACAGTTAGAACAATTAATCAGTGGAACAACCTGCCTCCAGAAGCTGTGAATGCTCCAACACTGGAAGTTTTTAAGAAGAGACTGGACAGCCATTTGTCTGAAATGGTATAGGGTTTCCTGCCTGAACGGGGTTGGACTAGATGACCTCCAAGGTCCCTTCCAACTTTCTTGTTGTTGTTGTTGTTGTTATCTTTGCCTTCCTAAAGATGTTTCTTTTTTATCTTTTTTAGGTATTTATCATAAATCTTTTGCGTGATAATAAATATTTTCATTTTCGACCTGTAATGGACACTTATATTCAGAAGCACTTTGCAGGAGCTCTGGCATATAAGTAAGTTATCTCTTTATGGAGGCCAGTTTATTAAGTAAATGTTAATATCAATACAGTGACTTTTAGACAAAGATATTCATTTGCTTGGGGTTTTATACATACTAAGTTCTCACAGAGTATAGTTTATAGCAAAGGACTCCAACCTTTTGGGCACCAGGGACCGATTACGTGGAGAGAGGTTTTTCTGTGGACCGGAGGAGGTGTGGTTTTGTATGCTGCCTGCATCCTGTGGATGGGGTTTTGCTTGTTTGTGTGGCCCGGTTGCTGGCATGCTGCAGCCCGGTACTGATCCACAGACTGGGGTTGGGGACCCCTGGTTTATAGAATCAGCATAGCAAAGAGTTAAAAACAGAGCATAATGATAGTCCCTAAAAGTCCAGTGATTATAGATCAAAACTGTGCTGCTAAAGCATCATTTGTTTATTTAATTTATTGTTACATACATACAGAAACATACAGTATGCATATAAATAGATGTAAGTATAGATATAGATATTGATATATTTCAGAAAAATCTGTCACTTTGAGCTTCTGTCCTGTTGAAATGTCTGTCATTGTGATTTTTTTATTCAGAGAACTCATCCGCTGTTTGAAATGGTATATGGATCGATCAGCTGAACTAGTACGACAGGATCATATTCAAGAAGCAATGCGGGTATGTATTCTATGTAAATATTACTCAGTTTAAAAAGAAAATATTTCTTTTCTAAGGGCAAAACTTAATTAGGAATGAAAATTAAATAATATATTATTTAATGAGTTTTTTCAATGATTTCCAGCAATATCGATCTTTAGTGGTGCTATTTAGAATTAAATGCTTACCTCAAAATATTGATTTAACAAGGTGATATTTTGGAGCTTAAAATGGGTTACAAATCAGATTTATTGTTGCTGAGTCAGTAGATTAATATAAGTCTAGGGAAAAACACTGGAATAAAAATGTACTCACTCATCAACAATGGAACTAGAAGGTTTGCTGAAAGGTGCATTTTTTTTTTCAAACATACAGATAACAGCTGGATTCCTCCATGTTATTTCTCACATGAGCTTAATAGTCCATTCATAATTAATATTAAGAAAAAATGATAATATTAATGTCCAAAGTTGGAAAACAAATTTTAAAAACTGAATAACCTTTTTGCACTACAGTGCTGTCCAGATCTCATCAAGTTTTTCTTTAAAAAAATATTAACCCATTTTGTCTGTTTGGTTCATATGTTATATATGTAAATATTAATTACATTATTGCTATTCTCCTACTAAGATAAAAAAATATCAAGCCATAATTTGTCAACTAACAATAGATTGTAGGTATTTGTTTTGCAAATACTTGGAACCTGACATTTTTGCAAATAGCTTTCTTGGAGGAGAATGCTAAATTTTGATTTATTTTATTGATTGTAAACTAAATAAATATGTATCCATCCACAGCTCAGAGTCGCTTCAAACTCTGAGATGGGCAGCAAATAAGTTTAATAATAATAGTAATATCCTTCACATAAAGGATAAGAATTTGAATATTAATAATATACTTAATTTTTCCCCTCTGGCTATTTATAAACCCCTTGTTCTTTTTTTTTTCCTAATTCCTCTCCTGTTCTTAAGGCATTGGAATATCTTTTCAAGTTTATTGTTCAATCCCGGATCCTTTACTCCAGAGCTACTTGTGGAATGGAGGAGGAACAATTCAGAATCAGTATCCAGGAACTTTTCCAGTCCATCAGATTTGTACTCAGTTTGGACAGCAGAAGCTCTGAGACTCTCATCTTTACACAGGTTATAAATCTCTAAAATTCTATTTCTGTGTTTGATTGTTGCCTTTGTAAATTAGTAGAATTACTTGTCAATGTACCAAAACTTTTCAAAGGAAAATAACTGATTGACTAGGAAAATGCTAGGAACCCATAATACAATCCTTTTGCATTCCTATCAGTTTTTCAGTTTTCTATTTATTTATTTTACTGGACTTACATGCTGCTTCTGTCATATCTGTCTCTGAGTGGCACAAATAGTAATGAAATTAAAAATTAAAAACATAGCTATATTGCAGTATAAATCATCAGCTTCCTGGGGAACAACTACAACCCATATTTACATTTAATCATCAGGTGTAACAAAAATTACCCCACAGCCTGTAAAAGCCAACTGGAACAACTTCACTTTCAGATCTCAAAGAATGGGCAGAGTCTATTGGGAGAAGGTGGTTCCTAAATGCCCAGTCCTGAACATGAAGCACTTTTAAGGTGACATTCAACATCTTGAATTGCACCCAGAACAATACTGATAAGCAGTGTAGCTCTCAAAGCAGAGGTGTTCCTTGGATAGATTGTTGGGCATCCAAAACGTCTTGAGTTGCTTATTGTGAAGCAATTGAAATTTCTGGATGGTTTTCAATGATCACCTCATGCAGAGGACATTGCAATAATCTAACTGAGAGAAATCCAAGGGTTAAGTGACTGAGCAAAGCCTATTAGTGCAGGAAAGGCTATAATTGTTGCACAAGATAAAACAATGTAACAGCCCTTCTTAACCACCGTTGGCATCTGCTCTTAGCTATGGTTAAGCCCCAGATTATGAATTAACACTGAAAGGGAAGTACAACTCCATCCAGAGTCAAAGATGGAATATCTTTGGAATTGGAGGGCTTCTATACTGAAAACTATTTCCCTTTGTTGAGATTGAACCAGACTCTTTTTATTCCTATCCAAAGTTTTATGGCTTCCAGCCTCTGGGATAAAACCTCAGTCATATCTTCTATTTGTCTAGAGTCAAGATAGATAGTTGAATATCATCTACACACCAGTGCTGCCTTTGTGCTATTGGATGGCCATCACCAGTACCTTCATGTAGATGTTAAGTAAGAGAGAAGAAGATGTCAACCTCTGTAGCACATTACAACAGAGAGCCATAGAGCTTGAACTCTTAACTCCCACTACCACTGTCTGAAACCGCCCATTTAAGAAGAATTATTACAAAGCAGTGCCACCTATTCTTGACTCTTTCAGGTGGTCCAGAAAATTATCACTACCAATGGTATCAAAGCGACTAAGAGAACACGTAGAATCAGAAGGATTACACCAATATCTTACTCTTGTTACAGGATGACAGAAAAGTGATCAGTGTGGATTCAGCTTCATGTTTAGGCCTGAATCATTATGAAAAGGGTCCTGATAATCTATCCTCCATTTTCTGCAACTGTAATCCACACAAAAAAAACCTTTTCTGCAGAAGGAAAAATTGGAGACTAGTTTATAGTTATTTAAAGTTACCAGGGCAAACTATATTTTACTGAGATGTACCATCCCCTCACAAAGAAGCATTCAACACAATTCAATTTTGTAAACATTTTTTTATAAAGATTTTACCAGCAAACTAATAGTTGGCTCAGTATGTTTTATTGAGGAGATGTTCCATCTCTTCCCACAGGCAATTCAACACAATTCAATTTTATAAACATTTTTATAAAGATTTTACTAATAAAATAATATTTGGCTCAGTAAAAAGCCCCAAGCATGAGAATTCTGCTAAGATGTTCAGTTGTTGTCCAGTAGATAATATGTATTCCAGGCTTATTAATATGTCTAAGAAGAATCTTGATATTGTTGCACATTTGTGAAAGAAATAAATCTGAGGAATCTAGTAACAATAATAGTTTGTTCTCTAAAGAAAACAAAATTTTGATAGCAATGTTTTCTAATCATTAACTTTATTTTTTCATCTCTGACACGGTACTTGAAAAAATTATATATTCATTCAAAAACTTATTTAATACTTTAATGAATCAAAAGTTTACCTTTTTTGTTTCCCACTTGCCATGTGTTGCCCCTTAACCCTAATTGCCCCATAGGCCCCTCAGCCTGAAGGACAGGTGAGCGGAGCTGGGACATGTGCCCCACAAAAATGTGGTGGCATTGCAAGGCCGTCATTTAAGTCTGTAAGTAATTATCCCCATATCCTGTAAATATTTAATCATGGGTGTATATAATGAGTGTTTTTCCTTATCCAGTCCATTTTTCTGCACAAAGAACTGAACTATATTGCACACTTCAGTGTTTGCAACTATAAAATGATTTGCAAAGAACTGTACGTTTTATATAAGAGTTATTCTACTGTTTGCATGAATTACTTTGAATACGAGCACCAGTCATTAGAGAGAAATTATATCAGTTATGGCATACTTTTGGATTATCTCTGGTAATTCAAAGAATACATATTAATGATGATAATAAAAAAGTAACAAAAATCTAATAGAAGAATATTTAATAACTTAAATATTGCGTTTCGGTTATGTCATATTATAAACAACTAAATATTCATGCAGAGCCAATAAGAGCCAATAATGAAAATATAATGAATTTTGGTGTTATTTTAATCTCTTTCTGTTAATTTTTTTTCATGGAAATATCCAAGAGCATCATGTTCTCTCTAATTACAGGTCTTTTGATATCACCACTTCTGATACAACTGTCACTGGAAATAATAGCAGTATTTGCTGCATATTTCCCTGGGATGAAATTGACTTATCTTAAAAATAAAGAAATTAAAATAACAATGGTTGTTTGGTTTGGTATTTAATTATTATCTTTATTTATTTTGTCTATATTTCTTTGGATTGAGAATATTAATTCTAAAATGTTTCAATGGAAGTCACCACCCATCTTTAATTTAATTATAATTTATAAAGAAAAGAAAAGAAAATGAATAGCCAGAAGAGGGGAAATAATAAACTGTTTGCTCTGGCTTGCCAAGTGCTGATGGAGGATAGACCACTCATATTTACAAGCATCCACAATGGGGATACCTACAGACATATTTACATCAGATGTTATGACATCATTGCATTATTACATTATTTGTGCAATGTTGTCATGAAACATGGACAACCATTTTGGCATAATTATGGCTTATTGCAAATCCCACTGGTAATACTGTTCACCATAGGGAGATGTGCTACTAGTATCATATGATACCATCTATCAAAAGATTTCCTGAGTGATGTGAGAATGAGTTGCTCACTTTTTCCATCATTAGATTTGGGGCAGGGAATGGGGTTGCAGCTAGGAAACAAAAAGTTAATTCTTATATTTTTGAATGCCCCAATACTTCCTCCTAACTATTCACACTGTATTGCAAATGGGCTTCCACACAAAATAACTTTAGCTGGGATGATAGGGAGGAGAAAGTTCATCTGGATTGGACAGGACTGATAATTTTTTCATCTTCTAATGTACTCCTGTTCTTCTTCCTTATCACCAATATTGAAACTGAGCTCAGAAGTACCTTTGATTTGAGACAATAGTTTTCTAAGACTAATTACTGTAAATTATTGTAATAGGAATGAAAGAGGGAGGACACTGTTGGAAAATTAATATTTACTTCCAAAGCTCTCACCATACTTACCTCTCTTTCCCTAATGCAGTTAAAACAAACTGTAACATGGCATGTAGTGGGAAGTTTTGAAATAAGTGTGTCACTTGGTTCAGTTGGGCGACTATAGAAATTGAATAAATAAAGAGTAAAAATTTAACATGTTATATCTATCTGGGTGGCACTAAATATGAAGTTCATATAATTGGATGAAAATATCATTGCCATATATTTTATTTATGTATTTTATTAAATTTATTGATTGCCCATCTTACCACAAGATGCATGGATGCATGTGACACAGAATGTGGGGCGACTTGCTCATTGTTGATTTTGGCTTTGGCACTTGGTGATTTGGTCCTTCCACTGATGATACACAGTTTATCAATTTTTTCAATAAGACAATGTGCTTTTGGGGCTGAAAAAAAATCTTATCCAGCACTAAAATAAGTCTTAATAGAAGAAAGTGGGTTTACAATATGGTGGAAGCTACTGCTCTAGGAGACAGGAATTAATTTTTGCAGATTTTCCTTAACAACAACCATATTGCTTTAGGGTGTCTTCTCACTTTATAGCAGATCAACAATAGGCTGCAGAAAAAGAGAATGAATAATTGTAAATATGATTGTTATGACTCTAGGAACATCCTGTAAATAAAGATTTGCTGATGGATACTCAAGATTTAAATAATTATTCTATCATATTCTGGAAGCCTTTATCAATTTTATATAAGAACAAATGAACATAAAGCTATTGAAGAATGCACATTGTCATATTTTCAAAATCCATTATTTCTATGATTTGCCATATATGGTGCATAATTAGTGCTTTCTCTCTATATAAATTATGATAATGAATTGAACTGTAAGAGTCAGATTATATACCTCTGTTTCATTCCTTTTTTCTTCAAACTCTTCATATTAGCAGAAAATATTTGGAAGTATGTATGTTGGTTTGAAGAGGGCGGTGTGGTGGCTCAGTGGTTAAGACTCTGGGCTTGTCAGCAGCCCTGAGAAAGCCGGCAGCCCAGGTTTGAGATCTAAGTGTCACGCGACAGGATGATCTCCTGACCTCTTCCCAGCTCCTGCCAACGTAGCAGTTCGAAAGCATGCAAATGTGCATAGATAGATACCACTTCTGTGGGAAGGTGACAGCGCCCTGTGACATCATGACATGACAACAGAAATGTCTTCAGACAGCGCTGGCTCAGTGGCCTTAAAACAGAGATGAACACTGTTCCATATAGGTAACAACTAGAGGAATAAAATCTGCAGGGACTTCTTTAGCTTTTATATTGGTTTGAAGATGATCACAGCACTATGGCTTTCTAATTTCATGAAGCACCGTAATGTCATCTCCTTCTTCCATATATATTTAAAACAATTTAATGTCTGAAGAGGATTATTGATCTTCCCTATCAACTGTGATAGCCACAAAAATACTCAGTTTTTATAAATGTGATTGAAAGCAACTCAGAAGACATGAGCACTCTGGAAGGGTTCTTTATTGTGTGCTTCAGTATCTATAAGATTTTGTAGTTTAGGCTTCCTTTGTATTATGAAATCATATTACAATTCCAAAATCTCTTTCTAATAGAAACATGAAACTTTAAAGAGGGATTTCCTGCTTTTTTTTGTATCATGACTACTAAAAGAGTTCAAAAAGTCTCATATTTCCATTTTTTTTTTTTAGGCTGCTCTATTGAATTCTTTCCCTGCAATTTTTGATGAGCTATTGCAGATGTTTACAGTACAGGAAGTAGCAGAGTTTGTGCGAGGAACTCTTGGGAGCATGCCCAGTACAGTGCATATTGGACAATCTATGGACGTGGTTAAATTGCAATCTATAGCTCGTACAGTAGACAGTCGCTTATTTTCTTTCTCAGGTAACAGTTATAATATTAATCATTATAATATGTCTCTTTGCATACCCAATATGAACAGAATTTGTTTCATGCCACTTTAGGAACATAATATATAAAACTATTTTAGGTTTCATTTACTTCAGGGGTGTCAAACTGCCGGCCCATGGGCCAGACGCATCACGGGGAAACCGCGCCCACCCCATTGCCAGCAATGGGGAAAAAGTTCCAATATGTTGCACGACGTCATGTGGCGTTGCAAGTTTGACACGTCTCATTTATTGTATCCCTAAAATAGCATAAAGTAAATTATATTTTGAAAAATTGATTCATTAGAATTAATGTACAAAAATTATACTGCATAATATTTCTATTCTAACCAGCCACATCTTCTTCCAGAATACTATACTCCCTCTTTTTCTGTTTTCTTTGAACAACTTTGCATATTGTTCATAAACACTGATTTTGCCTTGAACTGTTTCATCTGCTTTTGCTTTCCCTCTTTTTTATGTACATGGGGAGAAAATTGTCCTATAATTTTTGAATTTCCCTCATTGTTTTTCAGTTGGGTACATGAGTTTACTAATAAATGAAGAGATTAGGAAATTAAGAAATATTTTTTTTAAATGTCAGGGCCCATTCTACACAGAAGTATAGCCTGGGGACATTGCATTCTCTTTAAATATTATTTTTTTTCATGTTTAATTTAAAAGGAAAAAAAATGGATTTTGAAAACCATATTTATGTCTATATTAATATTCTTGTATGGCGATAGCACACCAAAGTAAAGCAATGTCTTCATCATAGTGTTTACACTAATATCTATGGTTCTGTACTTAGTATAACCAGTTTTAGAAATACTTGAGATTTAATTAGAGAACTGATGTCCACATTTTTAATAAAGTGGTGCAGTCTAAGATGCCTTATTCAATTTATTTATTTAAAAAATTCATAAGGACCTCCCATCTTAAGAACTCAACTCTGAGGGGCTCTCTACAATCAATCAAACAAACAAACAAACAAATACCCTGGCACTTCAATCATTCCCCCTTGGATGCATCCAAAAGAACCATCCATATACTCCTATTTCATCCTATTCTAGCATTTTGGGGAAGGGCCAGCTTTTTATGGCCTTCCAAAAAACTAAAGTAATAGAGGCCTACTGGATCCAGGGAGAAGAATTATCTACAGGGTAGAGGCTGTTGTGAAAAAGGCATGTTTTCTGGTCCCCTAAGACAACAGCTTAAAAGGATGGGACCTGTACCATGCTTACTGTATCCATCCCAGTGGAGAATGGTCCCTCAGATGGCCTGGTCCCATGCCAAGTAGGACTTTAAAGGGAATTAAGCCAGTGCAGCTTGCACAACAGTAGTGCAATATGAGTTCCAAACACTTCATGTGCTGCTGCATTCTGGACCTGCTGTAACTTCTCTGGTCTTCAAGAGCAGCAATAGTCCAACCAGGAAGTCCTCAAGTGACTATGAATAAAGCCTTCCTGTCCAGGAATAGGTGCAATCGGTGCACAAATCTGTACCATTTCCTTTGAACCTAAGTGAACTATTAGAATCAAGAAAAGGGACCCTGAAGTTCATAAGCATATCTTACTTTCAGAATAATTTTAAAAATAATAAAGAAAAGGCAGTGAAAGCATTGTATGAATTCATTTAGGTTAGTAATTAATATAGCCACACTAATAAATATCTAGTGTAAGTATACCTAAGGAGGACATAAATGTGAATTGCAGTGTCATCTGGTATTTTATGGTTCATCTGAGAATATCAACGGTTAGAGATTTCATGTTACTTAGATATTTCCTTTTCCTTTAGTTTTGGTAGTCAGTATTTCTGTTGCCTGATGTAATAATATCTCTTATGACAGTTGATAATATTGTAGGTTCATGACTTTTGACAATTTAGCTTCTGTGGGAAGCAATATTAATTAAACAGTGAAGGAAAATAAGGCTGCCAGTAAAGATAATTTACGCATTTTATTTACTGTACTGTAAGTGCTATATAACCTTTTGCAACAGTTTGTAAATTAGCTATTCAGAATTAGCATTTCAATGAATAAAAATGGGTTTCCCTTAAAATCTGTTTCATACAGGCCTCTAATTAAGCTCTTGTACTATTTATTAAAAGGCCAATTAAATTAATTTTATTGCATCCTTTTTTGTTATTAATGGTAGTTCTTCAGGTTTTCTATATATGCTTGTGAATTAAAATGAGGCAGGCTTCTCATTCCAGTATTTTGAGTTCTCCTGTAAAATAATGTCAAGCCTCTGGTTTCCCATTCCTAGAATCCCGGCGAATCTTATTACCTGTGGTCCTTCATCATATTCATCTTCATCTGAGACAACAAAAAGAGTTGCTTATCTGCTCTGGAATTCTTAGCAGTATCTTCTCTATCATCAAAACTAGCTCCGTGGTAATCTAAGTCTATCATTCTATCTTTCTATCATCTATCTATCTATCTATCTATCTATCTATCTATCTATCTATCTATCTATCTATCTATCTATCTATCATCTGTCTCTGAAGAATTCAAATGATATGTTTTTTTGCAACATAGTATAGTTGTTTGTGATCTACTTCTCATTAATATAATGGATTATTGAATACATGTTTTTTTACATAAGGGACAGAAAATTGTACTTAACAAAGTTTCCAAACATTTATTTGAGAGAAGATATATGGCTGCTGGCCAGCCTATATAGAATTGTTCTGCATCTTTAGCAGAAAAATAAACATGATTAAAATTATGTGTAATATATAAAATCCAGACCACTGTATGGTATGTCCTAGGCTCTTAAATAATTTTCTGATTTTTTTTCTAAAATTATTCAACTTATTTTGGATAGATAGTACTGCTGAAGAAGCAAATAATAATGACAGCAATAACATTACATTACTAAAATTGTTCATTTAATATATTCCCATCTACCTTCAAAGATGGCTATTTAAGTAGAAACTTTAGCACTGATGTACAAGTTCTGAAAATAGGTTTGGACTATAACATCTTAAAGACAGTATTAAACATACCAAAGGGAGTTTAACAATATCCCAAAATATTTAAATTTGAAAATATTTTAAAAGGGAGAGCTGGGCATAATACTAATCATAGAATTTTGTTTGTGAACAGGACTGAATGCAAAATATTAAGGTAATTAATTAATTGTCTTTAATCAGATAGTAGATTATTATAAGAATATTTGATCTAGGAATACAAAATATCCATTATTGTAGATTTAAATAAATATGGTGTTAAAAACAAGAAAGGGGGGGGGATTATTATGATTTCTGAGGAGAAATTTTGATGTAATCTATGACTTCTTGGGATGCTCTATCTGGGACCATAGGACTGCATCATTACGGGTTTTAAAGATAAGAATGACTATTGGGCATTAAGCCTAGAATGAAATGGGTTAAAATACATTTTTATATTTTAACCATCCTGACTTAGGTATGTAAATGAAGACTCAATCATCCAGGCCAAAAGTATCTAAAAAGGTGAAATCATGGCAACTGGACCAAAGTTTGATCTAGTTGCCATGATTTAACCTTTTTAGATATCCTGTCTTGGGTAATACATTTTTTTTCCTTTCCCATTCTCCTTTCTTGTGTTTTACATCCTTTATTGGAAGTCTTGAAAGCAGGTTCTAGCAAAACCTAGTGCAATTTTTATAATTTCCTCTAGGAGCCTTTTATTAGTTGGAAAGTAGATAAAAGCAAACTAAATACTAGTAATATAATAATAAAACTAAGTGGCTCTATTTTCAAATTTTCCCTGTGTTCTCATGAAAACAGTCACTGTCCTCTAGTCAATCTTGTCTTCTAGACTATAAACCTCATAGATAAATGAATGAACAGGCAGCCAAAAGCAACTTCAAAAATTTTCATTTCCATCTTATAAGATGTTAACTCTTTATGTTTTAACTGTTTACTATAGGAGACAGATGTAATTGAGGAGGTAGAAATGATGGTGGAGAGCCTCCTGGATGTACTATTACAAACTCTTCTGACTATTATGAGTAAATCACAATCTCAGGAGGCGGTAAGAGGGCAGCGTTGTCCACAATGCACAGCTGAAATCACTGTTAGTAACTAACCATCAAATTCTATTTCCTGCTTATCTAGCCTGCTCCCTTTCCCTATCCTCTCATCTCTAGTTTACTACATTTTTCATTCTTTATTCATTCATTCATTTCTTTGTGTGACAAAATTAAAAATAACTGTCCCGAACTCTCAGGGTGAAGCTAAGAACTATAGCCATGCTGCTGTTAGTTTATTTAGCCTATTATTCTGGGTTATATTTTTAATTATTTCTAAGGCATTTGCTATAATAATTAGCGGGTGCTTAAGTAAAAAACTAAATGACTGGAATTATTGTTATGAGGTTGGATGATAGTGTGTTGTGTGAACTTAGCCTCAACTGAAATGAGAAAGGTAGAAAACAATGCTGTATTGCATGCTATGATAAATAGAAAAAAAATCAAAGCCCTATTTATAGGAATGAATGAATGAATTTTCAGAGAAAAAATATTTTCCATTGCAGAGAGGAAACACAAATTCTCATCCTTTAAGCCTCTAATTATTCCGCATTCCATTTTTAATTTGATTTGGTGGCTATTTGTCAGTCCCCATGGATAAACTAGACAGTTCACTATGTGGGCTAAATCTACTTTATTGTAAGGCTATATTATCAAAATCTTACAAATACAAACTGCCCACTGCCACTTTTACCTGCTTGCTCATTAGACAGATCCTTTCTAGGATTCTTTCTCTAACCGAAAAAAGGGATTCCTACCTCTTTTCTCTGATTGTTTCCTAGGCAGTCTCTCTTACCCTCTTTTCCCAAGATATTCCCACATACCATTACACATCTCTCTATATAAACACTTTCTACATAATATGAATTTATTTAAAAAGTACAGACATGAGAAGAATGAAGGAAATTTTATAGCGTTTCGTTTCATAAATATTGCTCCATTTTCAGTCCCTACAACTTTTTCCTATACCTCCAAGTTAATTTTTTATTTAGACTTGTGAATATAATTGTTCCACTAAAATAATTATTCTTTGAAATTAACAGGGGGAATATGTATCCTGTCTTTTGTCTCTACTTCGTCAGATGTCCGACACTCACTTTCAACATCTACTGGAAAATTTTCAGAGTAAAGATGAGCTAAAGGTAAGATTATAAATGTACTCTAGTTATATTTCCCATCTGTGTTTTTGTGCTGATGTACATCTTGTATCTCTGGAATGCTGAGAATGATCTTGATTATATCGAAGTCTGTTCTTTCTCTTTTGTCACAGATTCAAAGCCATTCCATATTATTTATTTTATCCTGCATATTTGATTGGGAACTGAGCCTATTGCACTCAGTAGATATGCAAATTGCAGCTGACCCAGATGCATACTGATGTTGCAAATCAATTAGCAGTTAAATGTTCCTATGTCACCTGACATGTATAGTTTTTTAAAAAAATAATTGAATCATTTAATCGAGTTGAATCTAATTATACTTATTGTGTTTAGGCTAGAATCTATTGGATACAATACTCATGCTTATGCTACTTTTGTGTTGATATTATTTCACTGATGCTTCATATTTTTGTTCTTTTGTTAATTGTAATTCTGCTATCAGTGAACTCCCCATAGAAAGGTAAACACCCAAAGAATGATTTAAAATATTTTAAAATAAAATATGTATTAAATATTTAATACTTTAAATTAACATATTTATTAAATATGAAGTGATATTTAAATAATATTTTTAAAAGTTTTCAGTTTGACTAAGTAACTTAAAAGAATTGTCCTTGAATATTTTTAGTCTTGGCAGATTTCCTATATGAATAGTAATGTAAAGATAGATATAGAATCTTAAAAGAGGAAAAACAATACAGACAGGAAGGTGGTAAAAAGTAGAGGCTGTACTATTTAGAAGTTCTACCAGCTGATTCTTAAGTTCCCACATGTTTTAATGCTAATTGGCGAGAAGCTGTGGCCAAGGTTTCATGTTACTCTGCCATACACTATGTATCATAAGGATTCAGCATTTAGAAATTTGGAGTTTGATATTATTAATATGCTGGTGACATTGAATTTTATGATACAATGAGTTTGAGGAGATCTAAGTGTACTCCTAGTCAATAACAGACTGTTTTAAAGAAACAAATTCTAATCTAATCCAGATACAGCACATATGCCCATTGTTATTAAGATGACAGATCATAAGGCAGTTTGGATTTTATTTTTTAAAAATAAATCACGTTCCCTTTGAAAAAAAATGGTTAGCAATCTGGAGGTAGTAGATTCCAAGGGGGTTCTATTATAAAATACTTTTTCTTATCTTTGACTAGTGTGCAGCAGCTATGCCCTGAAGATGATTCTGATAATCTCTAAAATTCTTCTTTATATCTTTTATTTATTTATTTTGAGTCAATTTTGGAAAGTTCCTAGAGTTTTCAAAAATAGTTTGCCAAGGTCTTCATAAATCTGCGAGCGATTTTTCATCCCATTTTGCAACTTACAACTTTTCTTTCCCTTGCTGAAGGTGCATATTTGCTTCAAAACACATAGCTAGTAATGTTTTAACATTGTTTTCTTGGTTTTTACTAGGAATTTCTTCTGAAGATTTTCTGTGTGTTTCGAAATCTGATGAAGATGAGCGTCTTTCCTCGAGATTGGATGGTGATGAGATTACTCACTAGCAAGTGAGTGCTGATGCATTTTAAAACAGTTGAATTTTATTAAAATCATGTACATTTTTAAAACAAATGATGACTTTTTAAAAATACTTTCAGCTCACTAAATTTTTAAGCATATAGATCATTTTAGATATGTTTCATTTTTATTCTTCATTGAAACATACTGAGAACTGATTTTTGATAACCTTATTTAAAAAATTAAAGAAATAAAAACGAATAATTTAATTAGAAGAAAGAAAGAAGTAAAGAATGAAAAAGAAAGCAAAACAAAAAGTTAAGGTTTTCAAAAATCATTTTATTAGACATGTTATATTGACAGTATGGAATAGATATAAACTTACGATAGTGGCAAATATCTGTAGCTCGGGTGTAGGATGAGGGTGAAGGTTCATTCTCTGAGCTTTAGGGTTGGTTTTTGAATGTTTCGTTACCAGATTAGGTAACATCTTCAGCTGTCTGTGTCGGTGTTCCACTTATATAAGGGCTTCAAGTGTGGGAGTGTCAAGTGAAGATCTTGTGATGGGCCAGGTGTAAGTCATCAGAGAGAGGCTTGTGATGGGGAGGTACTTCAGGTAAAGGTTGTTAGAGGGTATGAATTAGTGGGCCAGGAGTGAGTCATCAGTGGGAGGCTGGTAATGGGTCTTGTGATGGGGAGATTATATCACGTCAGGGTCATTGGAAGGTGAATTGTTGGGGGGAAGAGGGGCTTGAGGGTTGGTATTGTCTCTGGATGGTTATTTGATTGATTTGGATTCTGAGGGGTTCATATGCTGGTTGTAGATCTGTTGATGGAATTGCTTGTGGTGTGCCAGGCTTCAATGAACTCCCGAGCGTGGTGGATGATAGCATGGCTGATAATTTTAGTGTGGCTCCAATTGAACTGGTGTTGTTTGGTGTCAGTGGGGGTAACGATTAGGGATTTGGGATTGTGGAGTTTGACTGCTTCATGGATCCTGGTTTTTAACTGACACTTGCATACCTTCACCCTCATATAAACTTACATTGTGTCCAAAAATACTTTATGGCTGTTACTTGAAGAAGCACATAGAAGAGAAATGATAACTAAGCATAAATCATTAATTTATGGTGACATATTGGAATTCTTCTATAATGTCCAATACCATTCTGACATCTTTTAATTATATTGTAGGAAAAAATCCACACTGGTCTCCATGAATAAATTCTTGTAGAATTATTTTCAATCTATGTGCTAAAATGGTTGTAAATATCATATAATCAGTGTTCAATAATATCAGACTATAGTTTTTTTGTTGATGTTAAATCTTGTCACTGTTTAGATATTAATACTATATATTAATACTATATTAATACTCTTTCCAAGATTCTGGTATCTTATCTACCTGTAAGATAGAGTTCATCGTATTTTGGAGTGACTGCAAAAGTTCATCCTCAAAACATTTATAATGAGAACCTGGTAGACCAAGCATGTCAAATTGCCGGCCCATAGGCCGGATGTGTCACACTGAAACCGCATCCACCCCATTGCCGGCAATGGGGAGAAAGTCCCAATACGTTGTGTGACGTCATGTGATGTTGCGAGTTTGACATGCCTATAGTAGACCATCTAGTCCTGGTACTTTATCTGGTTTAATCTTTTTTTATAGCTTCAGAAACATCCCTTATTGTTACAGGTCCATCCATAATCTATCTTTGATTCTCAGTAATTTTTTAAAAATAGTCATCTTTTCCGGTGAAAGCCAGCTGGTTCACTTGGGCCAGGCATTTGACAAGGTAGACATCAGTATCAGATGGATCTGTAACTGGCTAACAAACCGTACTCAGCGAGTATCCTCAGTGGCACTTCATCCACATGGAGAGAAGTAAGCAGTGGGGTACCACAAAATTCCGTCTTAGGCGCAGTACTCTTCAATATCTTCATCAATGACTTAGATGAGGGAATAGGAGGGGAACTCATCAAATTTGCAGATGACACCAAATTAGCAGAAGACAAACACAGGATCCAAAAAGATCTTGACCAACTTGAACAATGGACCCTATCCAACAAAATAAATTTCATTGTAGAGAAAAGCAAAGTCTTACATTTAGGCAGGAAAAAATAAAGGCACAAATACAGATTGGGCGAGACCTGGTTCAAAAAGAAATGACTGTGAGAGGGACCTTGGAGTCCTAGTGGACGATTACTTGACTATAAGCCAGCAGTGTGCAGCAGCAATAAAAAAGCTAACAAAATCCTGGGTTGTATAAACAGAAGCATAGAATCAAGATCACGAGAAGTAATATTACTGTTTTATAAAGCCTTAGTAAGACCATAGCTAGAATACTGCAGCTAGTTTTGGTCACCATATCACAAAAAAGATGTTGAGGGTTTGGAAAAAATTCAAAGAGCAACTAAGATGTTCAGGGCCTGGAAACTAAAACATACGAAGAATGGCTACGGGATTTGGGCCTGGCTAGTCTAGGGGAAAGAAGAAATAGGGGAGACATGATAGCAATGTTCCAGTATCTGAGGGGCTGCCACAAGACAGAGGGGGCCAGGTTGTTCACCAAAGCACCAGATGGAAGGACGAGAAACAATGGTTGGAAACTGACCAACGAGAGAAGCAAGCTGGAACTAAGGAGAAATTTCCTGACAGTGAGGACAATCAACCAGTGGAACAGCTTACTCCAGTGATGGAGTGGGATTTCTAAGAAGAGACTGGACATCTACCTGTCTGAGACGATATAGGTTCTCCTGCTTGAGCAGGGGGCTGGACTAGAAGACCTCCAAGGTCCCTTCCAGCTTCTATTCTATTCTATTCTATTCTATTCTATTCTATTCTATTCTATTCTATTCTATTCTATTCTAAAATAATACTGATGAAAATTTTTTGGATAACATTGTCTGTTAACACAATACTCCTCTCTTGAAATTTGAAAATCATCTTCTTTTCCTTCTGTTTTCTTAATTAATACAGTAACCATTTTCCTAGTTTATTTGTAAACTCAGTTCTTTTGTTTAGTATAGTTCATCTTAATTTCTATTTCTCTTACTGTTAACATAGATAGTTATTGGTTTGTTTAATTTGATATTTTTTGTTTAAGTTTAATTTGATGTGATTTTTATGGCAATATCTTTAATTTTTCCTTTTTTCTTTTTATCTCATTCAAAATAACTTGCATTTTTACTTGAACCTTCCTTTTAACACTATTTTGTGTAAAATACTCTCTGATAAAAGATTTGCTTATATGACAGAACATTTTTAAATCAATACTGCTTTTGGAAATTGTTTTTTTTAAAAATTCTATTAATTTCTTTACAGTATTTCACAACCTATTCTTTTTTTTAGTGATATTTTGTTTATTCTTCATTTTGAAGAAAGTAGATTTTCCTTTAAAAATCAAACCCACAGCACCTAATTAACAGTTATGTTTTTTTTTTAAATTTCTCTGTTGTATTTTTAAGGCAGTCTTCTCTTCAACCTCCATTTAGATTTCTTTGAAATTCCCTTTAAATTTTTCCCAAACTTCTTTGGCTTTTTGAGCATAATTCATTTGGAATCTTTTCTGTTAAAAAGTAAAACTTAATATTTTCTAATATATCCCAGTGAAAATAAATCTTCTTCTGAATTAGTATCTCAGTCAAAAAAGGGTATTTCTTTTATGTAAAATTGTAATAGGAATGATTTTTAAGATAATTATATCTATACTATCAATCTTTAATTTTATATTAAAATGCTGTTACAATACTTGATCTCTTGTCTTTTTCCTAACAAAATGGACTAAAACATCCCTTGGGATATTTCTTATACTTGCAAAAAAAGAGAATTTTTGTGATATACTTTGTCAATCTCATTCTTGGTTCCTCTCCCTAGTCCAAAAAACCCTGTCAGTCCCTGAAAAACTTTTCTTTGAATATCTTCATCAACGATTTGGATGAGGGGATAGATAGGGAACTCATCAAATTTGCAGACGACACCAAGCTGGCAAGAATAGCCAATACTCCAGAACAGGCTTAAGATACAGGAGGATCTGGACAGACTTGAACACTGGGCGCTATCTAACAAAATGAAATTCAGTGGTGAAAAAAGTAAGGTTCTACATTTAGGCAAGAAAAACCAAATGTACAGGTATAGTATAGGTGGTACTTTGCTCAATAGTAGTAATTGTGAGATGGATCTCGGAGTCCTAATATGAGCCAGCATGTGCTGCAGCTGCCAAAAAAACCAACACAGTGCTGGGCTGCATTAACAAAGGGATAGAATCAAGATCACGTGAAGTGTTAATACCACTTTACAATACCTGGGTAAGGCCACACTTGGAATACTGCATCCAGTTTTGGTCACCACGATGTAAAAAAAGATGTACATCAATTGTGTCACATGTTTAAAGATGGATGAACTGATGTGCACGATGAGGCAAGGAGTGGCTGCCCATCTGTAGTCAGCAATGAATTCATGCAGGAAATTGACAAAGAGGTCCGTGAAGTCCATCGATTCTGGATATCTGCAAGCATTGGGGCATGCTGACTTCTGGTGTGGTGTTGGTTCACGATAATGTTCACCTGCACACTGCTAGATGCACTCAAGAACTTTTGAAGCAGTTCCGTTGGGATGTTTTTGATCACCCCTCCCATAGCCCAGATTTGGCGCCGAGCAACTACCACCTCTTCAGGCACATGAAACAGTGGCTTGCGTCGCACCGCTTCAATGATGACAGTGTGCTTCACGATGCTTTTACAGGTTGGCTTCATTCCCAGATGGGAGATTTTTTTTTCAGAAGGAATTTCAAACCTTGTAAGACGTTACGACAAATGCCTCAAATTGAATGGCCATTATATCGAAAAGTAATGTTGTAGTTTTCTAATGTGTATAATAAAGGTTCTGTATCTGCAAGTGTCTGTCATTGATAACCGAATGGAAGTTTATTTCCAAATCAATCTCATACTTTAAGTGTTTAAGTCTTCTTTTAGTTTTGTAATCCCAGAAAAAAATGCAAAAAACACAGAGCAATACTTATTAGTTGTGAAAGAAAATATCTTTTAAACTGATAACTAACATTATTTAGAAATGAAGTTCTAATTTCTATAAAGGCTGCATAACAGCCATGAATGAACATAGGATCTCTTGCCCCTGAGTCACTCTACTCACAAACCCACTGCAAAACCTTCCATCTTTGATTTTACTCATGAGGACTGACCATTCAGAGATCAAATAGGTCAATTTCATGCTTCCTCCTTCATCTAGAAGAGGATCTTTTGGTATCCAGCGCTGGCCACTAGATGTCAATCAAGTTATGATGCTGTTTTTATATCTGAAAGATGATTGGACCACCATATTCTTCACCGGATATCAGAACTGGATGAGTGAATTGTGGATATAGCCATACCATAGCTTTGACTTGCAATTAGTAGATTGGCTGGAGCAGAAAACTGGAATTATAATTTGGTGGATCCTCTTCTCTTGAACTTCTCATGCCTATAGCTACCAGAATGGGAAGAGTTACTTCTCAAGACAGAGAATTAGGGTGTCGTGGATGTATTTTCCATCTTGCTAACCAACACCTTCCATATCTGGGCTGTTTGAGACAGTTACCTATGTGGCAATACTTTGTTATTATTAGAACAATCACAACCAGTTTATAAAAATGAAAATAAATATCTTGAACCACAGCAACAAAAGCCCAGATTATCAACCCAGTATAATTCAGTTCTTAATAGTAGCTATCAACAAACCAATAGATGTGGCAGAAATTATAATTTAGAAGTTCAGTGTGTTTTTAGGCTGTCTAAGACATGGAATAATTTTAATTGGCTAGATTTTTCAATAATGTATTGGAATTGGAATCTATTTGTGTATTAGCTTTCCACAGGGCAAATGTTTAGATTGGAGTGTTTGTGGTTACCTTCATGTTCATGATCCAATGGACTGGCAATTTTTAAAATTGTATATTAAGCATTATTTTGTGAATTAATATAAAAGAACATGATTTTCACTAAATTTAGATTGAAATATTCTGTATATTCTGTACAACAGTGCTATAATGTTGTTCCTTTCATTATTATAGTGTAATAGTTACAACAGTGCAGTATCTGTCTGCAGCACTACATAAGAATTTCACGGAAACAGATTTTGATTTTAAGGTATTTTAAAAATTTATTTATACTATTAAATTGTCAACATTGTATTTTTTGGGGTATTAAATGACAACTCGTAAAGCATTTGTACTGAAGTTCTCCAAGAGTGTCCAGAACTTTAAAATAGAAAAAAAATAAAAGAATGCAGATGGTCCTCATTTAATGACCACTCATTCAGTGATTATTCAAATGTATGACAGCACTGAATGAACATACGTATAATTGGTCCTTGTACTTACAGCCATCCCAGTATCCCTGTGCTCATACTATCCACATTTGTCACATTCTTTACCAGCTTCCTACAAGCAAAATTAGTGGAAAAGGTAGCAGGAGACTGCAGATTGTGATTATGTAATATCCTCATTTAATTACTTACAACAATTCACTTAACAATGCCTACCAGAAGTGCCAGAATTTTTGTTGCTAAGCAGCACAGGCAATTAATTATGTGTGTCTATTCCAGTGGTTCTCAACCTTCCTAATGCCGCGACCCTTTAATACAGTTCCTCAAGTTGTGGTGACCCCCAACCCTAAGGGTTCTCCAAGCGCACACCAACGCCACCCACTCACCCGCCATGCCTGGGGCTCAGAGCGCCTTGCCTGTCCTTGCCTCACTTCCGACGGTCGCCGGCGAGGAGAGAGAGAGAGAGAGAGAGAGAGAGCCAAGAGGGTGACAGCACCGGCAGAGCTTAGTTCAGCCTCCTCTGTGGAAAGCCACGAAGCAGCGCAGCCTCCCTTAAGGAGATGCTCAGTGGAAATGAATCCGGTGCTGCAACAGCCCCCAGCTCGAAGCCGTGCGGAGATGGATACAGGAGCGGTGTCTCAGTTCCTAAGACCATAGGAAATATGTGTTTTCTGATGGTCTTAGGTGACCCCTGTGAAAGGGTCGTTCGACCCCCAAAGGGGTTGCGACCCACAGGTTGAGAACCACTGGTCTATTCAGAGAGACATTTTGGTGCAGTGGTTAAGGCACCAGGCTAGAAACCAAGAGATCATGTTGTAGTTCCGTCTTGGACATAAAGCTAGCTGGGTGACCGTGGACTATTCACTTTCTCTTAGCCCTAGGAGAGTGGTGATGAACCTATGGCACGTGTGCCAGAGGCGGCACTCAGAGCCCTCTCTGTTGGCACACGCTCCACCGCCACCAGCAGCAGGTGCATCAGGCCACCACTGCTGCCTGGAGGAGGAGCCCCGCCCAGCACAAAGGAGGTGAAGCGGCCAACTAGCAACTCAAGTAGAGTGGTAGAGCAGAGGTCACCAACCATTGTTGGTTGGTGGACTGGAAGAAAAGGGAGGGGGAAGCATTTTACATGCATGCATGCGTGCACGGGGCTGTGAGCACGCACGTGCTGCAAATGGAGCAGGGCTAGTGCCTGCGTGGTACTCACTAGCCCTGCCCCGTTCTTGCATGATGCAGTGCCTTGTATCTGCACCCCACGGCATGGCCATTTTTGTGCCTTGCAACACGGTGGCCCATTTTTGCGCCCCTGGTTTTTGCGTGCCAGAAGCGGCACTCAGAGGTGCCTCCCTGCCCCCCCATGAGGACACCACAATGCTGATGCGGCCCTGGCACTTTGTGATAAATAAGTGGGTTTTGGGTTGCGATTTGGGCACTCAGTCTCTAAAAGGTTCGCCATCACTGCCTGAGGAAATAGGCAATGGCAAGACCACTTCTGAAAAACCTTGCCAAGAAAACCTGTCTAGGCAGTCTCAGAGAATGGGGACAAAATTGAAAGGAAGGAAAAAAATTCAGAGGTAAATCTCAGTGAGTTTAGTGAATCAACTCCCAGGTAATGGTGTAAAAAATTGCAATATAAATTTTTTTAGTTTAGAAATTTTGTTTATAAAAATTCAAAAATTCTTGACATCATAGTCTCTGTAGAGTAATATATATGGGATTCCTCACCTCAAATAGCTCAAGTCTTCACCTTTTGTGTGTGGATTTATATAATTTTTATTATAATAATTCTATAATTGACTTTCAAAAATTCAGTTATAGAATTATATTATGAAATAGATCTGCTATGCATTGTTTATTGATGTGTGTGAAAGAAATGCCCATGTCATATGTACAGCACTTACATACAGAATGGACCATGAAACTAGCATCATTATGTAATGAGGGTATTTATTTGTTATAATCATTTGGCTTGGGTGTTTTCTGAGCAGATATACAAAATATAAATATATCATCATAATAAATACATTGTCATTATTTTTATCTCTGGTGCTTTTTAGAACAGTTGGTTGACATTTATTAATGATATAGTAAAGGACTAAATTGTATATGAGTTTTCAGTTAGTTGCTTCATTGTTTTTCTGTTTTGTAGGCCTGGAACTCTTATTTCAGCTTGTCTGTTTTATTTATCAATCAACCGAGCCTGCAGCTAGAAACATTTACTCCAGCTAAGCAGAAAAAGATTCTGGACAAGTAAGAATATATTAAGTTAATTTTCATTTTCAGGTGTTTGTTTTGAAAGTAAGGTAGTTGCTTTTTCCTCTGGTTCTGTTTTTATAAGATGTAGTATAATAGTAATGCTGCCAAATCTTGTTTTATTTTTTAAATTCCAATATTCCATTTTTTTCTTTGGATCTGTGTTTATATTCCAGATATGGTGATATGCGTGTGATGATGGCATATGAGCTTTTCAGCATGTGGCAGAATTTGGGTAAGTTAATCTTTAAATAAACTGAGATTTACTCAGTTTAAGATTTATAATTAATCTAATAATAGCACAGTGCTGGATAATCTTTCATCCACTGTTAAAGGAACATTCAAATTATAACACATATTGGTACAACTTCATAGAAATAATTTTTATAAAACAGGAGAATAATTTGTCCTTTGGAACTGTACACTATCACTAGATGATCGTTGCTCATACACATACACATTTCCAGGCATAACTTATTCTATCCTTCTTGGTTTAATTCTTTATGGTAAGCATCTAGCTTGATTAATATCTGACTTCATTCCTTATCTTCAGTTATAGAATATTTTCAATTAGCAGTGAAAGTAAACAAAAAAGAGTAGGAAATGGTATGCAAAGGAAATGGTGTAAATAACTGCTTGTTTTTGTTTTCTTTTGTTGTTGTTGTTGTTCAGGGGAACATAAAATTCACTTTATTCCTGGAATGATCGGTCCTTTTCTGGGTGTCACACTTGTCCCACAGCTAGAGGTCCGCAACATTATGATCCCCATTTTTCATGATATGATGGACTGGGAACAGCGAAAAAATGGCAACTTTAAACAGGTAAAATATTTTTCCAGTTCTTATAATGGTTATTTCTTACTTAAATGTTCATTTACAGAGTAGAAATAATAAGCATTTTGCTCCCAAAGTATTAAGCATATTTCAATGATCTTGGAATACTACAAACATCATAAATAAATGCTGGCTGCCAAGTACCCATATATGGGGACTCTGTGATGATCATAAGTGCAAAGGGTTGGAAGTAAGTCACTTTTTTCACCACCAATGTAACTTTGAATAGTTACTAAACAAATGGTTGTAAATCAGGAACTATGTATAGAATATACAGCCAATTGCAAAACTTCTTTCCATTTGAGTGAGACTTTTTCCAATCCCATTCTCTATTTTACTGTTTCTCAGTCACAAGCTGTTCTGAATTTTGGTTCAACTGTACAGTAAATCCAGACTGTGAATTGTATTCTTCCTCCTTTCAAGCTCTAATCTTAAAAAGGGAAAAGGATCCCTTGTCTCTTAATTTTTATTTTTGTTAAGATGAGTTTAAATTTTGTATATATATTCTGTCTCTGGAAAAAATTGGAAGAGAAACCATTCTTCTTTATGATCTCTGTATATCACACAAATATTTATGCATTACAGAAAGCAATTGTACTAAAGTTATTTATGGAGGCTTTGATTTATGTAGAATACTTATAGGAGAAAACCTTCATCGAATCATAGGACTGAAGAGATCCAATCCTATGTCCAGAGCAGGAATCCTCATATTATACAACACAAAAGACTCTCCAAGCCTTGCTTGCAAACCTCCAGTGACAGAGTACCCACAACTCCCAAAAGCTAAATAGCTACTACTACTGTTAAATAGCTGTAAGTGAAGAATATGTTAATTTAGAGTTTGGATCTCCTCTGTAAAGCATCCACCCATTACTTCTTGTCTTACCCTCAGGAGCCATGGCTCCTAGCTTCCCTAGGATGACCCTTTTAAGTATTTGAAGACTGCTATTATGTTTCCTTTCAATCTTTTCTTCTTAAAGCTAAACATAGCCTGTTCATTTAAGCTTTCTTCATTGAGTTTAGTTTCCAAGCCCCTTATCATCTTTGTCATTCTTTGCACTCTTTCTGGCTCCTCATCATCCTTGTATTAAGGCAATCAATACCCCAAGTACAATCTGACAGATGCAGCATGGAACAGAATTATCTCTTCTCATGATCTTGACACTATAGTTCTATTAATGTTGCCCAAGAGTGAATTAACTGTTTTGGCAGCAGCATCACATTACTGGCTCAAGTGGTCTACTAGTCCTACCTGATCCATTTCCTAAGTATTATTACTAGGCCATTGCTGCCTATCTTGTATCTGTTTTTCCTACCTATCTGTAGAACCTATATTTCTCAACACTGAACTGTGTTTTCTTGGATATGGCCCAATGTTCAAAACTGTCAAAATCCTTTGGAACACTGAGTCTGTTTTCTAATGTGTTAGCAATCCCCAGCTTTGCATCATCTGTAATTTTTTTGTACCCCTTCTAGTTCCTCATTGAAATAGTCAAGATCTTCCACAGGATACTTATCTCTCCATGTTGGCATAGAAGCAGTCAAGGATCACATGCTGACTCTGGTTGTTCAGTCAGCTACAAATCCTTCTACTAGTGGCTCCCAACCTTTTCTATACCCCGTACTCCTGGAACACTTCTGATGTATTCTTGCACTCCTTATAAACATTCAAAATAATGGCAACGAATTATGCACATACACTATAATTTTGAAAAGCCAAGTTTTCGCACCCCCTGGAATATCGTCTCGCACCCCCAGTTGGGAACCCCTGTGCTAGAGAGATTATCCATCCCACATTATTCTATTTTATCAAGGAAAAGCATATGGTCAACATTATCAAATATCATATTGGAAATAAGTACACTATATTCACAGCATTTTCCTGGTCTACTAAATTAATCACTTCATCAAAAAAATGTAGTAAGATTTGTCTGGTATGACCTAGTTTTGACAAAACCATGCTGGCTTCTAATAATCATTTTGTTCTTCTCTAGGTGCCTGCAAAGCCACTGTTTAATTATCTTTTCTAGAATTTCCCACTTACTGATGTCAACTTAACCGATTTGTAGTTTCCTGAATCAATGTTTTCCTTTTTAAGAAAATGGGAGCAACATTTGCTCTTCTACAATTTTCTGGCATTTCTTCCAGAACAAACTTTGTTTTAATCCTTTAACAGTTTTCAAAGATTACAATCAGTGTTCTGAAATTACATGTGCTAATTCCTGCAATATAATCCACCCAGTTCCAGATCCTTCATTCAAAATTACTCAGAGTTTCTTTCACCAATTCTTTGTCTATTATGACATTTCTCTTCTTATCCCAACACCCAATGCAGTTTATGACAGTTTGGACCAGTCCTCTTTTCTTTTGCCAAACTAGAGATGCAAAATATGAATTAAGCAGTTCAGCCTTCTCCCTATTGCAATTCCTTAGTATGATAATGATTGTGACTTAGATATCAACTCATTTTATAGGAGGCCTTCAAACTGCACATTCTCTAGTGAAAACCAGAATTGTAGCCACACAAGTCTTATGATTTTTAGTCTCAGATTCCCAAGTAGGGCTATGCACAAAGCAGAAAATTTGTTTTGTTTTAATCCACAACAAATTATTGCACTCCAAAGGTTTTTGTTGAATAATCCTGAATTGGCTTTGTTTTCATAGAATATTAAAATATGAAACACATTTTGGATGAAAAAATTCAGAAGGATTTTGGAAAATTTTACAGTGATTTTATGGGATAAATGGCAAGGCTGGTTCATGACACCTTTCTTTTGACTCCCCTTTCAGCAACTTCCCATTTAGCATATCATATTGGCCTACCCACTCCGTAGTCATTTTAGGCTCTTTCCTACCATGCTCTCACAGATATCTCAGGATGTCATATTCCACCAGGCTGCCCATCCCAATCTTCTTAGCAGTTCCTTCTCTGCTTTTTCTGAATCACCACAGCATTATTCCTCACTGCTTTCCCTTAAGTGCACCAAAGTCCCAGATCAACATATCCCACCAGACAGCCTATGCACAATCTTTCAAGCACTTTGTTTTCCTCCCTCTCCATAGCTACCACTGATTTCCTGGCCTGTGCATTTGTTCCTTAATTGCAAGGCTTCCTTACTGCAGTAAGGATAGCCTCCCAACATAGCATATCCTACCAGCCCACTTGTTCCCCATACTTTCTAGTACTTTCCCTTCCCTCCATTTCCTATCTTCTCTCAGCTGCTGCTAGGAATGTCATTTTTTTTACTGTACTTATATTCCCACATGTACCTTTGCCAGGAACAACTTTCACTTGTACTATAAGCAACTTTCTCAGTTTTGCTCAAATTTTTGTTCCTGTGCCTTCAAATATCTCTCATCTTCCTAACTCCCAGGATTTTCTTCCTTGCTCCCATTTCATATATTAATCTGAATTATATTCCTGTTTTTGTGGCATTGTCTGCCAAAAAAATGGAATACACTATGTGCTAGAGGGATGGGTAGCACATTAGAATCTGCTTCCATTTTTGCTTCTGAACTGTTATGCTTTCTTCTTGATAATGCATTATTGGAAACCTGTTTTTTTCAAAAGAAGAAAAAATATTCACAGTAACTATTTCAAATGGTTCGTTCCTTTTAACTGGAAGTCAAGCAACAACCTGCTCCAGCCATAGAAACCATCACCTACAATACCAGTATTCAAGAAATTGGAAACCCCTTAATAATGTATAGAGCTGTAGATTTTTCTATCTCAAGTGCTAGCTTCAGTTATTGTTGAGACTTCTCCAGGAAATTCTAGCCAGAAACTTTCAGCATCAACTGAAAAAAGAGAGCTAGGTAAAAGAAACATTACTTCTCAGCTTCTTTGGAATTTTCTAGTGCTAACTGTGAAGCTTGTATATTACATTACCAGTGATTTCTCAAGTTTCTTTTGAGATGGAAAGCATTTATTTTTCAAAGGATTATACATGCTGTGCTGTGGTGACTTGGCTAGATCAATAGCCTTCTATCCTTATGTTTAGCACAAACTAGCAAGTCTGTCCCAAAGGATACATTTCAAAATGGAAAACCTTTCTTTTAATGAAGGAGTCTTGGTTAATACACATACTTCGATAGTGATGTGTTGAATAGAGTAAAGAAACTAAGAACTACAAGATAGAAGATGAGCTTTTCAATTCAACCACAGAATTCCTATGTATATTCTGGTTCTAGTTTCCAGATGCCAAAAGAGTTTGGTCAGTCTTCACATCAGAGTCATCTTATTTTTCTACCTGCAGGGCTTGAAGTCTTCTTTTGCCTCCTCAAAATTCAAGAGGGCTTCCCACAGCAAATCAACAGAGTTGTAAGCAATATTTTTTATTATGATGTAGTCCCATCCCAAAAATAAGATTCTCATTCATTTCAATCACAGACTATGGTATTTTGCATATCAGTGACCCATATTATGCCAGGCAAGTACATATCTAAGTGAGCTGATAAGGAAGACTTACAGGAGTTTCCCTGGATAGTTCAACAGAGAGGAAAAGAGAATAGGGACCAGGATGCTTTGTGTGCTGAGATGTGGGATCTCTTGAATTGTTGAGTGTACTGGGGGATGTCCTGAGAGTTGCTCATTGTGGGTAAGTGCTTCCTTTTTCTGAGTTAGTAGAATCTGTATGGCAGCCTGATAAGGAGTTCACTAAGTAAATGAATAGAAAAAATTAATATGCAGCTGAAATAGAAATCCCTAACTTTTTTTGTATATAAGTGAACAGTGTAAATTGGGAGCCTGAGAATGAAACAAAAAAGAATAGAGCCTGAGAAAGAAACAAGAAAAAAAGTAAAGAAACGTCAAGAAAAAATAAAATGTTAAATGTAAAGTTGACTGGACAGAAATCTGCAGCTGTAACCTGAAATGTTAATAGTATATTTGTATTCTTACCTAAAAACACTCTGGCATATATTTACAGCAGCAGAAGAAAAAGATTAGAGCATCAAAAGGCAAATTTGCAGCCAATGAAAAAGGATGG